GGCCGCTATAATTAACATGTACATTTTTAGAACATGGACCTTGTGTGGAACGCCAGAATATTTGGCGCCGGAAATAATTCAAAGTAAAGGACACAATAAAGCCGTAGATTGGTGGGCGTTAGGCGTTTTAATTTACGAAATGCTGGCGGGATATCCACCATTCTTCGATGACAACCCTTTCGGGATCTACGAGAAGATCCTGAGCGGTAGGATAGAATGGCCAAAACACATGGATCCTATCGCGAAGGATCTGATTAAGAAATTATTGATCGCTGACAGAACGAAGAGATTGGGAAATATGAGGCAGGGTGCTGAGGACGTGAAGAGGCATCGATGGTTTAAGCTAGTCGAATGGCCTCTGGTAATTTGATATCAGTCTGCGTAATTTTGTGTTGTATATATATATATATATATACATGCAGACAGATAAAAAATGGCAAAAGCTAAAAAATTAGTATTTAATAGTGTCACCATACATTGAAAAAAAAATTAAATTTTAATAAATATTTGTTTGAATATTTTTATTAAAGGGGAACACAACCAATTGACTCTCTTCGATTTTAATAAACTTTGGATAAATTCAAATCGGTCAAAAATAAAAAATACATTTTTTTCATAAGTTTATTAAGAGCGAAGGGAATCAATTAGTTGTATTTCCCTCTAAGTAAATATTTATTAAATGTAAAAATATATTTATTTGATACAAGAACCAGTGTTATTTGATTTAATTATTATTTTTTATTGAATAAATAATATTAAATTTTTTATTGAATATATAAAATTTACAATAACGAATTTGATTGAAGATACGAATACTTTAAAACCGTCGTATAAATCGATGTAAAAAAAATGTTTAATATAAATATGTACTAAACCACGAAATCCTCAATACACTTCATTGTGCTATTTCGTAAAATATATATTAATCGTTTCATTATTTAAGATAATTGTATTTTACTTTTACACTTAAACTAGATCAATATACAATGACTTTAATATGCATCATTGTGCACTAGTATCAGTGTATCCAATCGAATTCGTTATTACAGTAAATTTATTTTTCAGTGTATGCGTTTTGTGATGTTGGAATGTAGTTAACAATCGATCAATATTCATAGGTGCCGCAAAGAGCCTTGACACCCCCGATAAGGCCACGCGTAAAAACACCGGGCGATGCGAGCTGCTTCGACGATTATCCTGAAACTGACTGGCGTTCCCAACCACCTTTACCACCAGACCAACTAGCTTTATTCCAAGATTTTTGACAGCTAATGTGACGACACCGTTGAATAGTCACAAATATTTTCACTCATCAAGGCATTGGTTAAATAGAAAAATTCACTTTGTGGTATAAAACAATCGCGATCACGTTTCGGCGAGATATGTTGATAATAATTAATTTTCCATTTTGTACATAGGTAACTTTTTATATTTCATTGTGTAATACTTATTTATTTATACGTGTTCTAGGCTAGGCATTCCTTCTCGTTGTTTTCGTGAGATTCTGTAAATAAAAGGTTGAACAGTAAATTTTAAGTGTATTATATTTTATTTCTCAGAACTTTCTTATCTGTTTCTCTTAAAGCTGTCAATGCCCGTTTTTACTAATGTAGATTAATTTTAATCTTTTTCAATTTACTTTTTATCTCTTTTTCTAATCCTTAGAATTTAAAAAAATGAAGAGTAAGTTTTTTAAAGCAAGATTAAAGTGAATCTCCATTGATGAAAACGAGCATAAAAATCATAAAATATGACACTGTATATAATGCTGTATTTGAAACATGTAATAGAATCGATTTGTACTTTTAATCGCACACGCAGTTGTCGGAAAATAAATCCGTTTAAAGTACTGCATTTTTCTGATTATCAGATTTACCATCAGATTTACCATGTTTCATTAATTTTACAAAATATAATAAATTATTTAAAATTAACCTTGACACGCTATGTTTACATGTTTGATCGTAGCAACACAATTTTCTATGAAGCGATAAAATCAACGTGATTCTGATCAAACAATAGTATAAAGCAACACACCGTAGAAGAAGCATTATCAAGCCAATGGTTTTGTGCAAAATATTTTATAAGCAGTGAATATCAAGAAAATATTGAGAAAACCTCAAATTTTTCATTTTATCTGCATCATGTTGTCAAATAATTTGCAACATAAGCGACATAGACTGAAAAGGATTACAGTAAATCATATAGAAATCTCAGAAAAGACGAACGAAGAATTAGTTGAGTATCCTATCGATAATCAGCCAATAGTAAAAAGCAAAAAAGAAATTATTCACAAGTTATTACAAGAATATCTATATGACAGTTCGGTGCATGGCATGAAGTATTTCAGTAATTTGAAAATAAAATCCAGCATTATCGGAAAACTCTTTTGGACCGCAATTATAATCTGTAGTTTTGTATGTAAGTAATAAATTTATAGTACACTGATACAAATATAATATCATTTTGCACTTTTAATCCTAGGAAGCCGAACATAAGTACAATATACCTTATGCGATTTTACATTTTGTTATAACTTTTTGATAATATAATTTGAAGACCCGCATTGAAGCTGAAAAAAACTTTAACTGTCTATAGCTATGATAAGCCTGCAAGAATTTTTTTTTTGCGTTATTCTCGATGTGAGAATGCACAAAAGTTCAAAGAGGGTACTTAGGACCCATACGTGACTAACTTGTAAGTTTTCGGCGTTCTGGATACCATTTTATTTTTTATTTCATATATATTTTCGGATAGTATAAAAATAAGTACACAAAAATATAGAACTAAAAAGAATTATATTTCAATGTAATAAATAATAAAAATTTTATAATTTCTGCCAGTTTTCGGAGATCGCTCGGCCGAAGCGAATTTAACGTTTTACAGCGAGTGTGTTGCATCATTCTCTAAATTAAATTCTAATAAACTTCATTATACATACTATAATAATATTTATACATGTACAATCCTTTCTACTTATTCTCCTTATCCTTTCTACTTATTCTACTTATTCTACTAATTCCTATCTATTTATATTATTACTCTTTTATATGTTTAAATAATAAAATTTTATTTATTAATTGTAAACTTAAAATATGTATGTCTTCAAAAATGTCAATTTTCAATAGTTCAAATAATTATACTTTTTTTAGCGATTCATACTATTTTTTTTTGTTAGTTGACTCCAAAGGGTCAATTAAAAAAATCCTACGGATTTTTGCTTGAACATTAAATTTAAAAATTTGAGAATTTTTTATCCAAAGTAGTCATTTTTGCGAATTTTTCCAACAAAATTTCTTTAAAGCATTGTAATTGAAAATAAAATATTATTGAAAATAATCAGTTAAAGGCCTCAGAACACAAGCAAGATATTATTCGTTATTGTTATAAATTACTAAACATTATATTTAATTAATCAAATACAGATGAAAATTTCGATCTTCTATCCGGTCTACTAAAAATTCTAGAAAAGTCTAGCGCTTATAATACTAAAAATCTCAATCTTAAAGCAACAACGTGCAATTCGAAAACCTTGATATGATCACAGAAAGTTATTTTGAGTATGTCATTATAATTGTTTTAATGTAGACTGTATTTGTAACATTGAAAATGACCGGATAGAAGGTCGAAACGTCTGTATTTTGATTAGTTAAATTGAATAATGTTTAATGTAATTTATAACAATAGTGAATAATATCTTGCTTATGCTCTGAGCCCTTTAACTGATTATTTTAATTTATTTAATTGAGCATTGATTTACTTTTTAAAATATTATTTATTTGATTCATATTTATCTGTCTTTGTATGACTTTGAAGTATAAATTGCACACGTTTTGAGCTAAAAAATGCATTCAGTCGAGAGATATAGCGTGACAAAGTTGCAGGGTTTCACATACCCTAGTTAGGTCGGGAAGGTAACCAACATTGTTAGAAATGTAAACACGAGCTTCCTTTACATGTAAATGAAGCTCATGGTTATAAACGAAATTAAAAGTAATAAATGATTTTAACTGAAAATTAAGTTACAGTAGTTACTTAAATGAAATGAACATGTACATTAAATTTCATAAATTTTTATGAAAAATATATTAAATTTAATGTAATGTCATGAAATTAAATTTAAATTGTGTAACTTAAAAGTTAATAAAATTTAAGAACATTTCTAACAGTGAAAAATTAAGTCGGCTTCCTAGGATTAAGTCTTTGGCTATATGTTCTGCTATAAAGCTTGCCGCGAAATTCGACTATTATAAGAAACGAATATTCTCTTTCAATGAAATAAATGCGGATCAAAACAAGATATCCTTTCTTGATAGTAACAAACATCGAAAATAGTCACAATATACGTTTTATTTCAAAAAGACCGTAGTTCATTGACGAATCCACGAGAGGGGAAGGAGGGCACTGGGGCTATGATCCTAATTGGAGTCTCCTTTTTTTAAAAAAAATATAATAAAATTATATAATATCTTTAATATTTTTGAGATGCTTAATCATAATTTTAATATTCCAAAAATATTAGCAGTTAATCACAACTCGGCAATATATATAATAACCCTTTAGCACTTCTGAAGAAAACACCGAAAACCTCAAAAATAATATATTTCCAAAATATTTTTTAATTTAAGAAACTCTTGGAGAAAAAAATATATTCCATTATAGTATTCTTTTTTTGTGTTAATATAATTTTAAATAAAACGTTTTATGAATTATACATTTAAATAATACTTTTTTAATATAATAATTGAAACAATAATTTAATATTCTATCTTTTTATATTTAACTTTAAAAAAAATCTCACCTGCGGCGCGCCAATGATCCTCCTGATAAATTCTGAATTCGCTAATAGTTTCTTAAAAAGAAGTCACTATAAATGGCACGTAATAGCCAAAGAGTGAAAGTAGAAGAGTAGCTTAATCTTAGTTAATTATTAATTAGCTACATTGCTTAATGTATGTCAAAATTGGTCAAATATAAATATTTTTTTAGTCTTAATTCAGATGCTGCATAAATTCTGGGAACGTTACAATGCTAATCCAATCCGCAGTATTGTTAAGTCATTTCATGTCCCAATATTTATGGCACCCTTCCCAGCTCTTACTATTTGTCCATTAATACCACCGCCAATTGCAAGACGCAACGTAGTATTTGCAAGTTTACGTTTACCAAGTAATATGTCTTACACTACAGGGAGATTTCTAATTAGGTACGAATATTTTTTTATTAATAGTGTACATAATTTGTAAAAATAAATGATTCTAATTATAAAGAACTTTGTGATGTCTAAGATTTATATTTAATAATAGAACACGAAATTTCTTTTAGATATGGGCCTGCTTTTGCGAACGAAAACGCTCCTGGTGGTAGACATCATATAGATAATTTTAAATTACTGTTGAAAACAAACAACTTGTCACTGATAGACTTTATAAAAGCTTTACGACCTTGCGAAGACATATTTGAATCCTGTGCATGGCATAATGTTGATACGAATTGCAGCGAACTGTTTAAAATATCTTATACTTTCGCAGGTATATGTTGTTCCTTCAACTATTATCTCGAAGAGTCCATAAAAACTGGCAGGTAATTATTATATTATATTATAATATACAATTACATTTGCTTAATTATATATTAATTATTATTATTGCAAAATTGTCTTATCTTTTTATAATTTCTTTCTTATAATTTTACTTAAACTAGAGTTAGAAAAGCCGACGATTTTCTCACAACTTCTTTGTACGGACCAAGAACCGGTCTTCAAATTGTCCTAAACCGATATTTTTTGGTCGAGGATGATGACATAGATGAAAAATATATCAAATCTTCAACGAATTCCGTCGGTCTTGTGGTACAAAGTTGATACATATAATGTTAATATTTTTTTAATATGACACGAATAATTCTATTTTTCATATACAATACGTATTAAAAAAGAGAATTATATATACAAATTCTTATTAAAAATATTTGTTTGTCACATTTTTTCAAATAGATATTCAAAAAAGTATTAATATAATTTTTTCTGTGAGATATATAGGTATTTTCTCATCATCCTTTGGAATATGTCGCCACTATAGCTACTAGACAAATTCTACAAAAAGGGCAATATGTACTCGTAATTATATATTCTTATAAACACAATTAAAAATTTTTTTTTTAATGTTCTAAATAAATGTTTGGTGAAGTATTTGCATAATATCTGATTTTGCTTTGATATGATATAGACCTCCGTAAATCCAATTATCAATAAAAAACTCAGTGGATATTACCATCGAGATTCTATGACTGGTGAACTGATTCAGAATTGTATAAATGAAAAAACCAAATTGGACTATTTTCCTACATATGGACATTTCAACTGTTTTACCAGCTGCTCTATCAAGGCTGTTCTCCAAGCCTGTGGTTGTTTGCCACTCTACTACACGCCTATAGCTGAAAAGCATTCATTAAGAGTAACTTTAAAATAAAATTTTATAAAATTATTTCTTTAAATTATTATCTTAGCTATAACAGTATTAATAATATATCCTAATACTTGTAGCTATGTGAGTGGGAAGATTTCCATTGCCTTTACGCGAATGCGGACAATATACGGATCATTCAAAATGTTGTTAGAGACAATTTTACGTGTGAATGTTTTACGCCATGCCAGAGTGTGCAATACGGGTTACAAACTTCCAGGCTTTTGTTAAATGGTAAAAAGAGTTACAATCCATCGTCATTGTAAGTAATAAATAATAAAATAAAACACATTGCGCTCCAAACACATCGCGTAATTTAAATATATATATGTATAATGAAAGCAAGGACCACAAGGTGGACCAATTCAAACTAATAAAAAATTATAATAATAGCTGTGGGAGTTGTTAAGGCAGTTGTTAGTGCGAATATCTTATATTTATTTAATTTATTACATAAACCTTGATGTGATTTCGAAGAGCGCAATACAATAGAAAATTAACGTTTCGACTCCTCTTTGAGTCATCCTCAGAAAGAATTATCCTTAATAACAATTTTTTATTCCGCAATCAATTTCTTTATATACTGTGTAAGTTTCCCAACAGTTGGCAAACTATTGAAATCAACTGAAAATCAAATACGAATTGGAGAAACACATATAATACATTGTCAATTATAATTATTTCTTATTATTGATCCTACACTCATCATAATCGCCACACTCTATTACATAAGTAAAATACTTAGATAACAAAAAAAATTTTTTCTGCAGTAGACAATCATATTAATAAAATAATGATAACTTTCGAAAATATCCGTGCAATATACGTCTTAACACAACAGTTTCTAAGACTAAGTGAATCTTTGTTTATAATTTGAATTATAATGTCACGCATTAAAGTCAAGATATAAAGTTAAAAAACATTTCATATTTAATCGTTATTGAAAAATGTAAAATACGCAGAGTCTAACTTTTCTATATTTGTAAATTTAAACCATTCTGTTATTGGCTGATGTACAACACCTCCCATATTAATTACTTATTCAAAATTTTTTCAGAGTCCAATATTTCCACCTCATTCCATCGGAATTTATGATTGTAACGTGTCCTATATTCTGTTATAACCGATTATGATAATGTATAATATAATTTTTTCTTATATGATTATATCTAATGTTCTGATATTCTTGTTTGTAGTTTCCTATCCGTTTAGCCTATATAACGCCTATATGACGCGTTATAATCATTGCAATTTATGCGGTAAACCGCATTTCTCTTTGATGAATTTGGAAGTTTGTCCTTATGTGCTCTAATAAATTTATTTAACTTATTAAAACCGAAAAACGACAATTTCGTATTTATGTTGTTGATAAAAATATTGGAAATTTATTGGAAATATTTTTTATGTATAGTATAGTGAACTAATTTTCGATTTTTTATTATTATCTTTTTTCTATCGTAAAGATTTCTTATTTATTAGATATTTTAATCGATTATTCAGTGTCAAAAATAAAATTAATTGGATAGTCATTTTCGAATAAAATTTGAACTGTGAATTCCAGATTCTTCTGATAAAACTTAGAGTGCGATAGCAGAAAGGCTCTGTATATTAAGCTTATATATTAATATATATATATATATTCTCTTTTTTTGCATAATGGATGCTGGAAGAGATAATTTAGATATCTATCCGTATATATACTTTTATAATACCAATCGAAAGTGATTATGCCATTGTCTAGGTATGATCGTCGTGTCTAAAAAGTTTTTTGTTATCAACTTTAATTGTAAATTGTAATCTATGATAGGAGTTAAAATTTATTAAGTAATGTATTAACCCAAGTAATCGATACAGATGTGATCACGTCATCAACATATCGGAAAAAAATAAAAAGATAGTAATAAATTATTCTCTCAAGCATTTCATTCTCCATAGTCTTCCGTAACTAAGTTAGTTACGATTGGTGGCAATGGAACCAATAGAGATACCAAATGTTTGTCTATATTTGTTGTCAAAAGTAAAATATGTCGAATTAAATACAAACTGAATGCCCTCAAGGATACTTTTTTTTGGGATGTCACAAACGTGTGTTATCAAATTCCATCTTCTAGAAAGATGATAGCTAATTCTGTAGGTATATTAATAAAAAGTGATGTAATATCTAGAAAATTAAATAATATTCATCGTCGATGTGAGTGTTATTTGGTTTTTTGAAACCGAAGTTATTGCGAATGTTATTCTTAATTTATCACTAAATTTTTATTTCCTTTATATTGATGACGTGGTCACAGCTGTACCGAATACTTGGATTGATACTTACTTGAATATTTTAATACCTCTATCATCATAGATTATAATTTACAATTAAAGTTGATAACAAAAAAATTAACTTTTTAGACACGATCATTCTAGACAATGAGATAATCACTTTCGATTGGTATCATAAAAGTACATATTATTTAGATAGATGCCTAAATTAGTTGGTTTACTATACCATACATAAAAAACATTTCCAATAAATTTAGAGAATTTATCAACAATATAAATATGAAATTGTCGTTTTTTGGTCTTAATAAGTTAAATAAATTTATTAAAGCACATAAGAACAGATTTCCAGATTCATCAAAGAGAAACGTGGTACAGTTTATGCGTACCGCATAAACTGTAATGATTGTGACGCGTCATATGTAGGTCAAACGAGTAGGAAATTACAAGCAAAAATATCAGAACATTAGATATAATCATATAAGAAGAAATACATTATTTAATTATTACAATCAATTATAACAGAACATAGGACACGTTACAATCATGAATTCCGATGGAATGAAGTGGAAATATTGGACTCTGAAAAAATTTTTAATAAGCGATTAATATCGGATGTTGCACATCAGACAACAACAGATTGGTTTAAATTTACAGACAGATACAGAAAAGTTAGACTCTGCGTATTTTACATTTTTTAATAACAAATATTAAATGTTTTTTAACTTTATATCTTAACTTTAATGCGTGACATTATAGTTCAAATTATAAACAAAGATTCATCGTAGATTCATTATAGTCTTTATTAGAAACTGTTATGTCGAGACGTATATTGCACAGATATTCTCGAAAGTTATCATTATTTTATTAGTATGATTATCTATTGCAAAAAAAATTTTTTTTGTTATCTAAGTATTTTACTTATGTAATGGAGTGCGGCGCTTATGATGAGTATAGGATGAATGATAAGAAATAATTATAATTAACAATGTATTGTGTGTGTTTCTTCAATTCGTATTCGGTTTTCAGTTGATTCCAATAGTCTACCAACTATTGGGAAACCTACACGTTATATAAAGAAATTGATTGTGGAATAAGAAATTGTTATTATGGATAATTCTTTTTAAGCATGACTCAAAGCGGAGTCGAAACGTCAATTTTCTATTGTCTAATTTTGTCTATTGTATTGTGCTCGTCGAAATCATATCAAGGCATATAATAAATTAAATAAAAAAAAAATGAGATATTCGCACTAACAATTGCGTTGACTCCCACAGCCGTTATATTATTTTTTATTAATTTAAATATATATATGCATATACTATATTACATCCTCTCTATACATGTATAATATATGTACATATATATATATATATATATATATATATATATATACATATATGTATATATGTAATTGTATTTATTTCAGTAAAAATATTTCAACTAATCAATCCATTCTAAAAATATATATGAAATCCGGCACATTCATAGAAATGGATACAATTCCGATTGCTGACGAATTATATTTGCTAGGTAAGCGATCATTTTTAATCAGTAAATACCAACTAAAAGTAACATAACATTAATGTTGTAATTTCACATTCAACAATACATATAAATAATACATATAAATAATAATATAATATACATATAAATAATAAAATATCTGAGCTGAATAAAGCCCACGTAATTTATTTGTTTTTTATTTTTTATGAGGGTATTAAAATAAACTAGGTGAGAATAAAATTGTTATTTTACTCACTTACAAAAATAAAATATGTGTTCTATAAAATATCTGTAAATAAATTTTTAAAAATTTTTAATTCTGATATTAAACCTTATTATATATATATGAATATAATGTTTGTTGCTGCTGATTCTAATTCTCTAGCTCCTTTTTATCTACTTCCTGGCACATCTTTTAAGCATATCTTTAGGCGTAAAAAGCATTTTTAAGTAATTGAAAACTTGGACGTTATTTAGTGCTGGGTCTTATTCGGCTTAGGTACTTTATAACACATGTTCTAACAGTTACATTATTCAGTGTGAAGTTATAACATTAATGTTATATTACTTTTACTTAGTGTTTATTGAATATTTGCAATCTATTTTAATGTCTTAATTAAAAGAAGAGAAAAACTTTTCAGCATCGCTGGGCGGCATATTTAGTCTTTTCTTGGGATGCAGCTTTATAAGTGCCTTGGAGATTTTTTACTTCATCATGTTATTTCTTCGTTCTAAATCAAAATAATTCCAAGTCAAAATAATTGTCGTCAATCAGAAGTTTCACATATGACGTATTAAACAATCTAATTAAGTTTATAAATTATGCATAATTAGAGAAATTCGATCGCATTGTCATCGAAAGGGTGAATAAGAACACGATTGACATTCTACAGCAGCATACATAATATCTTTTGGGACACTGGGTGTGCGAACGCCACATCGAGCAACTACGAATCTGGAGCGATTAGATCTATTTCGAGCGGTTACTGGAGCGCTGCCGTAACATTTAAGTCCACACCCGTGAAAATACATATTTACTACGACGAATGTGATACCGTGCGGCGCGAGTGATTCTTCGAAACTAAATTGTATAACAAATGCTTTACATAAGTTGCAAATAATGAAAGTCCTTTTTTAAGAGTAATCGTTTAATCGGTTATGTAACGTGACACGTCAATTTTCGTACTTATACATCTCATTTAATTTATACATTTCGTTATTCGCACCTGTTTACACCTGTCCGTTAATGTTGGCAAAAATATAAGGAACATTTGAAATAGCAACGTGCAAATATAACGGGATACATTCCGATACGGTCAAGTACACATATTTATCAAAATGAAATAAACATGCAACGACGCGCGATCTATTAGAGACTTTGTATTTGACATGGCGATTGTACGAAATGTATAAATTCAAGTAAAAAGGTGAGAATAGCGGATACTTCAGACATACGAAAAAAATGGATATTTATATCGTAAAAATCAGTATTTGAAAAGTGTTCAAATACAATAAGCGAGTAATTTGATACTTGAGCATACGGTTTTGGGAGCTTCTGCCTTACGTAATATTTGAAAGCTTTTTGCTAACACAACCCTAATTGCAGCCTAGCATTGAAATGTGTACTAATTATGTCGTCTATTTTCGCTTACGCTGTCGAAAATACCGATTTAGTTCTACGCGGACATACGGTCAAACTTCGAGAGCTGGAAGCGCCGACTATTTTTGGAGAAACGCCCACATATTGCGGGGCAGCGTCGTTCACATTTCTACAAAGTTCTCTCTGTTTGCATCTTCAAGAAAATCTATATTTTTCACAATTGCGTCTCTTTTTGTAATCGCAGTCCGTTTTATGCATACCTCGATAGTGACATAATGACAATTTATTTCCGGTACGATGGTAAATCATAGTAAAGTAAACTTTAGCCTGCATTTCAAACGAAAAGATTTATTTTATCGTTTGTAGCGTTGTGTTTTTCATATATACTACGAACATATTTTTAAAGAAACTTTTTATAATACATTTTTAATATTGTAAGTAGTGTAGTTAAAGATAAATGAGATGCATTCGAATTATAAACGAACGCGCATAAAACAAATTGATATATTTATTTCAGTGACTTTAAATGAACACAACTCAATGCGAATTATAGCTGTAGATGTGCTAGTAACATAATAAATATTATTTTTAATTCAGACAATGTATTTGTAGTTAATTATCTGAGAAAATATAATTAATGTAATATCGATAGCCGATTTTCATGACGAAGTAGTAAGAAATTGAAGTAAGACAGGAAACAAACTTTTAAAATTGTTTCTATTACCCGATAAATATATTTTTAAATCATGCGCGTAGCAGAAATCGGTTACTAAACAGTCAAAAATGATTTGCGGAGAACATGTCTTCAGGCGCCTAAATTGTAGAAAATATAATAAGTGAGAATTGGCGAGTTCTGAACGAGGTGTCCGTGACGATCTTGGATCCTCTGAATGCATCCGCCTTGCTTTCTTTGTTGTTCAGCCCTAAAAATACAACGTTCTACATTTAAAATATTATTAAATGCAATTTGAGTTCATATTGTGATCATTTATCGAATAATTTATTATTAATAACAACTTTAAAAATAATACTACATCATAAAATATTAAGGTATGTAGGATTAAAATGAATCAAGATGAATAATGAAATTCCGCTTACTATTCGGAGATTTCAATGACCAACTTAACACAAAACTTTCTTAATCTCATAGTCTTATTCTGTAACTTCATTTAGCTATAAATAAAAGCTACGAATATATTTAGATAATTCTAAATAAAATAAATAAAAAAATATAAAGTTTTCATTTTATGCAATTTTATCAATAATATCGAAATTAAAGTAAAAAAATGCGAAAGCATTCGGGATACTTGATGCACATATTTTTCAAATCAAGAATGCATTCATTGATATACGTAACTCACCATGGTGAGGAATGTCTGTTGTGCTTAAAAAAACAATCCCGAGTATAATACCCAAAGCGAGATTAATAGAAAAATAAGGATGAAATACGTCATCAGAAGATTCTGCGTTTCGTGGCCTGCTGGTGGCATTTTTTGACCGATATGGACAGATCTGTATTGTGATATATATATATACATATATATATATATATTAAGTCTACTATTCACTTACAGATATCCGAAAATTTATCTTTATTCCTCATAGATAAAAAATCGATCAATCTTTTTTTTTTTAAATTTACAAGAACGTATATATAGCAATGACAATAACTAATTCTTACTTTCTTTCCACATCGCACCGGTTTAAAATTTATAATTAAATAATGTATAATATTGTAATATTTTTATGAAATTCGCTTTGATCGATCTTCATTTAAAGAAGATTTGCGATACTCACGAATGCTTGGATTATCACTAATTGCGAATTATAGCCGTTATAACAGTCGGTAATTAATTTTTGTAAACGTTATTATTGTAAACGTTATTACATGAAAACACTTTGAGTTTTTTATTTTCAAGATCACTTAGATCTAGGAATGCGTTCTTCGCCGCTCTACGTGCGATCGTAGACTGGATCAGGCAATGCAGGATTTGCGCGCTCGGGTCTTGTGATCCCGAAATTCCTCCAGGAACCGCATCACCACCCCCACCTATTATATTTGCGTGTACCGTTTCGCACCTTCCCACCTTCTGCTCCAGGATTGGTAGAAGACAAGATCCCACCATCGGCTAATGTTGCTTGAAGAGCAACGAGTTTCGTTACCTCGAGTTATATTAAGGCATTGTGAATGTTAGGCGTAACTTCTTGACAAAAACGCCACCGGATCGGTTCCAGATAACCGCCGACACACTGTAAGTATTGGTAGGTTTGTTATGAAATTAATATGTTCAGGTCCATTAAGCGCGATTGGAAATTGCAAGAGAGGCATCGTGTTATTCTGAAAATTCGTTCAAATGACTGCCAGAACTGTTGCGCGCGATTAAGATTTCACTCCTTAGTCAATCCGTGCCAATATAGAAGACCGTCCATCATTTTCGGGCTCTCGTCTAAATTTAACTCGTTTAGCCAAACATCAATCTCGATGAACAATGTATGGATACCTGCAAACTTTAGCTCAGCCATTATGTAATGCATTTACCTTGAACAACCAAAAACATATCAAAAACATTATCAAAACATGTATTCGGCATTACTATTCATCTAATTTATGAATTAGATTCTTAATAAAAATCAGAAATATTCAATAACAAATTTAGACGTAAGTTTACGGAGCATATCAGCATCCAAAGATTTAAACTTTTTAGATCCACTAAGTCGTATTTGTAATTGTAATAGTAATTAATTAAATTAAATTAATTAATATAATAATTAATAGATTATTAATTGATTAATATTTATTAAGTAATAATTAATTTCATAATAATTTATTAGTCAGTTAACATTAATTATTAATCATGAAAGTCTTAACACAATTTTATTTTTGGATATATAATATACATAATGTTCGCATAATGCAATATATAATTTAATCTATGAAGAAGATTAATGTGATTAATAACTATATAATTTTTATCCCTCTGGAATCTTTTCTACACTGTACAATGAAGATACAATAATATTTACATAGGCACACAAATATGGCTGCTTGCAAGCAATAACTTTGAACACGATATGACACACCTTCACGTTACGAAAATAGGAAAGCCAAACTTTTATTACGGATTAACTCACGACACGGTACACAAGGTGCGCATATAAATAGAGATTATCCTAAGATAATGTTTCGTTCTATAAATTGCGTACCAATAAAAGTTTCGACGTACATTCCATATGACTTTTACGAAATTAAACTTGGAAAAAGTTGACAGTGATTTTTTCTTGGCACAGGCAAAAGAAGTTCTTTTATTTTCGTTTCACTATCCTTAAATTTTTGGCAAGAGACACCGTTATAACGTTAAACGCCATAACTTCAAATAAATAGTCTGTAGTATATCTATGAATATGTGCATATATGAATATATTTGGATCATAAAATATAATGATTAATAACGTATAATCTCATACAGCGCAGAAGCTTGCAGCAACATTGCTGCAACATTTGCAATGTCAATGCAATGTTGCAATTTTATTGCAATATTACTGAAAAGATCGATGCTGTATTATAATAAATATATAATAATAATTTGAAATATGTAATATAATTTGATACGTGCAATTTTTCACATATAAAAAAACTTTACATGTATATAATTCATATTTCGCAATTTATAAAATAATTCATATTTTATTCGCATATTTTACATTTGTATATTTCTCTCTCTCTCTCTCTCTCTCTCTCTCTCTCTCTCTCTCTCTCTCTCTCTCTCTCCCCCCCCCCCCCTCTCTCTCTCTCTCTCTCTCTCTCTGCGCACATGCATATGTGCGCGCGTATGTGTGCGCGCGCGTGTGTTACAATCTATTGCATATCTTATAATTTTTTTTATTTCTCGTTAATAAGTCGACCAATTATTTAATAAAGAAATCATCTTTAACTGTTGAAATGAAGTATATCATATAATGTACATATTTTTTTTATATAGATAAGTAATTAATTTAAAAAATATTCTATACATTTATATATGAGGTAGTACAAGGTTTAAACAAAATAAAAACAAATACCTTAAAAAGCCATTTTATCGTATTTTGTCATATTTTCACAGACTTTAGTGATAGTTTAAATCAATGGCACATATAAAAAAATGTAAGCAGTAATCAACATTTTTTATTTGTTACTGTTAACGTCTTACTGCCTTACGTTTTTTTATGTGCCACAGGCTTTACTCGTATTATGTATGTACATCTGATTCTGTTAACGAGCACCATTAAGGTCTGATTGCAACGTTACTTTGATTTTAAGCGAGATTTAAAATTCTTTCTGTCTCTATCTCTTTTTGATTTTAAAACGAGACAGATAAAGTTTTAAATCTCGCTTAAGGTTAAAGTGAAGTTGGTGCACCGAGCCTAAGCCAAAGAAAATCCCAACATGTCTTCCAATGAGTAGTCAAACAGCCTTAAATCTAATTTATATAGATCTGCTAACTTGCGAAGCTGTTTGTAGCTCAAGGTAGAGTAGTATCTGTCCAATTTTCTCGATGTCGGCTCACTGCTTGGTGATCTAGCTGGAAAACTATGTAATCATATAAATTTATTAACAGTTTTAACATATTAACATCTTTATAATATGATACTTGATGGTAGCATCAAATTATTAAAATTGCTTATCAATTTAATTCACGATTTCTAGAGTAGTTTCAATTGGGTTTATAGTCCGGAAAAATTCGGCGCGCAGTTTGAAAAGACTACAATATGATATATATGCAAATACATATTATATATAGTGTATAATAGTAATTCAAGATTAAATTATTTAACGCAATAAAGATCCAGCTTCAATCATAATAGGCACTTTAAATTTCTAGTATTGATTGTGTTTCTCACATATGCGGTCTAAAATAAAGATTCTTAATATTGTTTATGTAATCATATGTAATAAAATGTTTCGCTAATCTAAATGTATCAATATTATTCAATTTGTGGTCACGAGTGCATCTACGTACTTCACGGATGTGACACCTATCCTTTCGAGAATTTCCGTGGCATCTTCGACCAAACTCTCGTACTTGCTTACGAGATTGTAATTAACTATGCATGGTTGGCATAGATCATATATCGGTCTCCAATGTTCATTTCGAGTTCCATTCTCGGCGTCATCGGTAATGAAATCAACGAACTCGCGAAACGTCACATCGTCACCGTTCCTTAAAGATTCCTCGGTCGCGTTCGGCCTGTACTTCTGCAAAAATGTCATGTAGTTAAATCGCTACTTGTAACTTGATGTTTTCGATATTGCGCTATTCATCTCTGTTTGTATACGGAACTTGCCATTAACGGTTAATATAATAAAAGTGGGACAACCTGCACATGGAATTAATCATAGTCATATTCCAAGTGCGCAATTATACGGTATTTCTAAATTTGATTCAATTATTATATAAATAAACATCTAACATCTTACAATGCTTAAACAAACAAATATTTTCTTTTTAGGTTTTACGATATAACTCGATTAAAATAATTCGATAGGTAAAGGAAAAAAAAACCTTGGGCAAAATAAACTATAAAAACAGTATTAAATTATGTACTCACTTTATAGGTATTATTATATGATGAATAATAAGCGATACAAAAGTTTTACTATATTTAAAAAAGCTTATTTTTACCTTGACGATTTTCTTGCCGAAGCGAGTCTGGAAATACCTCGCACTTTTCTCATGTTTGGTCTCTAATTTATTTCGATAGGCTGATAAAAGCCTTTCCAGAGGATGTCGCACAACAATTAACTTGTCGTACGTAGCCAATTTCTTCTCTATCTCAGGCAGGGTGTAATTGTTCAATCGTTGAAAAGTACCGGAGGAATGAGCTTGATCAGCCGGTATTTCTAAAGGATCGTTACCAGACCATTTTCCGGTCGCAATCATTAGTACGCGCTTCCAATTTGTGCAAGCCACCTGAAAGGTGAAATCGCTTCGCCTTAGAACGCACAACGCGATGCGTTTCAATACTATTTATAAATTATGACATTAACATTGTTCGATAATCTCAATAAAAAGACGATAAATTCGGATACCTTTGGTACATAGCAATAGAGCAATTCGTGCAAATCATCCACAAGGATATTTCGGAACAATTCGGGATTTAACGCGGTGATATCGACCTCGCTACTTTCAAACTCGCAATTATATTGTAGCCTTTCTTGTCTCTCGACCAAGGCCGACCTGGCCAACGCGTTTGGCCCTGTCCAAGAATAAATGTATTTGTTCTGCTCGAACAATTTTTTGTCTTCGTCATTTGAATGTACTTGCGCGACTTTTGTGTTTGCGTTTGCAGTCGTTTTCCATATAACAATGAATAAAATTATCCTCCACTCTCGACATCCTGTCATCGTTTTCCTTTATTCACCGCGAGCATTGGACTCTCTTGTAGAATTTCGAACAGATTGTAAAACTCTGAATCTGCAAAAAAAAAGAACAGTCCATTTCATGTCCGTTGGAATTATCCATTCCAATGGAACGCTATTATGAAACCGATAATCCTGTATACTAAACGTTATGCTTTCTCGTACTACTTTCAATTGAAGAACAGACATATCTATCATATACGATAAGAAATCAATTATGATTATTAATTTATTATAAAATATTCTTACGTGAGATATAATATCAATCAAGAATCATTTGCACTATAATAAGACAGTAATAATACGGCAAATCACAAAATGTTACATAAGAGTTAAAAAAATTTATCAACATAGTTGTTACCAACGTTACTTGTATATGTACAATAATAAAAAAAGTTAATTATTTATCGTCATTTGTTTAAAAAAACTGTAAAAGAATTCAATTAGAAATATTCTTAGTTTCTTATAAAATTATAGATGAAAATGACGCATAAAAATAATATACTAATTGTGCAGCAAATAGCGTTTTCAATGTAAACATAAAAACATAATGTATTTAAAATAAGATATCAAAAAATATTAATCGATGTTTGTTTTTGATAACAATTTTTTTAAGCCAGTTTTAAGTCAGTTTTCATAAGGTTAAAATGATTATATCACAAAATAGAATAATTATTATTAGTAGAATAATTATTATTATTATATATCTAAATTATATAGCAAAATCGAGCAACTTTTTCAGTTTTTAAATTTTAATTATTTATATAATTATAAAATGCATGCATATCAAAAAATTTTATACAAAATAATGATTTTCCTTTTTTTTTACAATCTTTATTCAATCTTTTATATCTATATTTTTATTATTTGCTCGTCGCATTTTCTATTCTTTGATACAGACAATAGAAGAGTGGACCGCAACATAACTTTCTAGGCCAATGTTACGGTCGTGGCGCAAGTGCAATCATATCACAACGCAGACAATGTCTCCTCTTCGAGGTACGCACAGGTATTAGTTATATTTATAAAAGTTATATTATAAAAATGCATAATTTATTTTCAAAATAGCTACTGATTCATTTTTATCTCTTTCAAATATAATCTATAGAATCCATAATTACTTTTTACAAATATTTTGATAAGAAAATAAATAGTCACACTGAGAAATAAAAATGACTATAATTTATATTCATTTTTTAGAGATAATTATATATTTATAGTTATTTTAATCATGCAAATGTCAATTGTAGTCAATTGTATTATTAATAACAATCATACACACTATTTGAAAATCTTTAGTTTTTTCTTAACATATTTTTTAGTTATTATTACCACATAAAATAGTAAGTGAATTTAAGAAAATATAGTTATGTTCACTATAATTAAATGCAATTGCATTTACTGAATAAAAATGTTTATTTTATTTATCATTTATATTTTAATATTTTATTATATTCATACTTAAAATTATCACAATTTATAATATAATTTTTTCATGTTTGAGTGAATTATCATGTATGGTTATTGTTACATTATAATTTAAATTATAATTACATAAATAAATTACATATATAATTACATATACATATAAATTATTAATATAATATAAAAATTTATAATTTATAAAATTTAAAGAATAAATAGATTTTTAATAAAAATTAACAATTTTTATTAAAATTTTCCTCAAGTCGCGAAATTGTCGATAACAGTTAATATTGGATAAAACATCTGATGGGCTTCATATTTTAAAGTGCAAATAATCGCGCGTGAAATCTGAAAATAGCAAAGTAACATTGAGTTATAGTCATGTTAAATATCATGCTACGGGACGTAGCAAATGCAACCAAACGAAATCTGAGGAAATAGAAATGTAATCAAGATCTTTAATAGATATCTCGAAAAAGCATATATTAAACAAATGCAGGAAATGCATATATCACATTCCACGTAGACATATATATCGGAATTGAATCAAGGAACAGAATAATCAGCAAAACGAGTTAAGGTATTATGAAAAAATGATAGCAAAATCCAACATTCCACAGTAGATTCCATTGTAGATTCTAATTAAAAAATATTCCAACGAATAGTTATTTTAAAATTTTATGCATTGTATATCGCATTATGCAACAAGAATTTTAATTAAATACATAATGGCATACTGCACATTAATGATATATGTGTATTTAATCCAAAAAAAGAGAGCAATTACGCAAAGCCATATTAGATTTATAATTCCTAATAAAGATTCAAATTGTTGCAACGAGAATGATTATGAATATTATATCATTCTCTCCTTATTGTTAATTAGACGTAAAATAAGGATAAAACACGCACTCTTCAAACTCATCTTCAGTCAACGATTAGTCGTTTTCACGATGACACATAAGTTTCCTCAATAATAAAGTTATCACAAGGTTACTTTGCACTGAGCAATGATTAATCGCAATCTCAATTCGCAGTAACTCCTTTATTTTCGCATTTATAATTAACGCGTATTTATTATTATTTTTTATCATTCTACATATTATAAAGAGTATTTTTATAATAGACTTATATAAATACGAATATAGATACAAAAGACCAGACATTCAGTGACCAGTCCTTCAAACTTACACTTCGTGAACTGACAGACGACCAGATAGATAAGGCGTATTCAAAATCAGTAGAATTTCTTCGAAGCAAATTCTTCGGAGCGCACGATCAAGCGTATCGACCTTGTCCAAACGTTCATAAAGATTTTAAACTTTCAAGGGCGAGTTATTAGTTCCCCCGATGAATCGGCCGATCCGCTCGTTCCAAAAAAAATCCCTTCGAGTCACGGAATTCTCATGAAAGAATCCTCACTTCCGTTTCACTTTTTTTGAAACCTTGTACAGAAAGTACAATGAACTGACTGCCCGCTCGACAACGCGAAACTCATCGGCGGATGCCGCGCACCGTAAGGAGAACACGAGTGGTCAAGCAGCCGATCAACGTAAGCAGCGGGCGATCGCGTTAGGTCTCAAGAACGAAACGATGATGTGTCGGTGTGTGAAGTGAAAGAGACGCTGCGCGCGCCTCTGCTCTTTCGTTCTCGTTCTCTTTTCGGTCGCCCCTCCTTCGGTCCATCCTCCTTCGACCCGGGCTCATCACGGACTTCCCCACTTTCAGCTTAAATCCATTCATATACGTATATTCGTAGAAACCAAAGGCCACGTGATGCAAACTCGAATCACAATGTATAATTGATGAGTTCGCGCGAGTGACGAATCGTTTGCCGCCTTGAAAAATCACGAAATACCTATATATATATATTTCGTGGTTTTTCAAGGCGGCAAACGATTCACTATTCGCGCGAATATATATATATATATATATATTGCCGATTTCGATTATAACGGATCACGGAATTCAACGCCTCGAAATTCATTTAAGTGGAACAATAAATTGACACCCTTTTCTCTTTGATCTCTCAAAGATGTTTGTATAACCGAATCGAATGTTCCATCATCTTGTTTCATCATCTACTTGTTTATCCACATCGTACATTTTTTTGGTCGTCATTGACTGTTCCATCTCATTACATAGTTTACATATCTTACTTTCACTCTTATGTCATATACAAGGTTCTCTTAAAATGATTTTCTTCTGTATGATTTTCTACTATATGAATGATCATATGTGATATGATGCAATTTTTGTTACGTAACTTGTACGAAAGCTTGCCATAAATTCTTTTTCCTTTAATATTGCAACAGCATTGAATTATCTACTCTATGATAAACATATCGAAAACTATTACACATTGTTATTTAAAAGCTAGATTACTGATAATTCTTTTTATAACAAATGAAAATCTTCTTTAATTCAAAATCGATTTTGTTCTTAAAAAATATTAAAAAATTATTAATATTTTTGTTAAGTTATTGAAAAAAATAAACTTTTTGTAAATTAAATTTTACAAAAGTAACAAAATTACGTTTTTTAATTAATCTCAGATAGAGTTCATTAGAATTTAATTTAAAATATAATTATTTACTTACACATAATAATAAATTAATCATTTCCTTAATATTTTTATTAAATAGAAATTAAGTCTAAATATAAAAAAAATATCTATCGATAAAATGATTTCTTATTTCGGCACATTAAAATCTGTTGAATACTACATTTATTTATTATAAACTACACACACTTTACAAAATCAATACACACTTTGTAACGAAAAATTTCACCGGAAATCAGTTGACATCAGCGATTACGATTGGATGTATAGCCATTATGAGAGTGGTTCACCTCAGTGAACCTGTAATTTTGCTAAATAGGCTACTATCAATGTGCTACTTGTCTCAATTTCTCTCTCTTCATGTCGTAGGGTGTTATTTCATCTATGTGTTTTTGTCGTACGACAAATACGCAAATTCTCAGATCTCTCTATAGACGATCAACAGACTTAAAAAATTTATTGTACGACAAAAACGCATGAATGAAATGGTATACGAGATACGTAGAAGATATAATAAATCAGTTATGATATTAACATAAATCAGTTATTTATGTTTCAGAAACGAATGAGTTTTCGATTTATGTTCACTAAAGCTTTTTTACTCATTTATCATTTTTTTGTGGTGTGTACTATCTACCATATAAATGTTGAATATCTTTTTTTAACACCTTGTATATAAGGTCAGACAGGAAATTATTATAAAATTATGTATAACTACATAATGGATTATACATAATTATATATATCTTTATTATAAGTTGACATATGATTATATATGAAAAATAATTTTACAACTGTCATTATTAATTGCAAAATGTAATAGTTATTTATTAGTTTCCGCTGAATAAATTGTAGGTCAAGCATTGCGGTCAACTATTTGTAAAAGTGGCCTCTTTAAAGAAAGATTATATCAACTCACAATCAGAATCAAACGAGTTTTATCATTGGCCAGTAACATGTTCACATGTAATTGCGGATGAATGTCAGAATCGTTAGCGAAATTGCTTCTGCTACACCAATCCGCATTGTGACTACAAAAGTCTCTTAACTTCAATACAAGTGAAATTAGTTAGAAAATTATTAGGTGTTGGAATTAATTCGTAGCGTTTTTAATGAAAGAATGTTATTTATTTCACATGAGCATTAAAAAATACATTAATGAAAGTACTTCTCATCACTTGTAAAACGCTACGAATTAATTCCAACACCTAATAACTCGTAGCGATGTAACACAAAAAAGAATAAAAAAACTAACAGTAATTTGACAAGCGACTAATAATAAATTAAAAACATGAAATATTGTAAGATCAGTGACGTGCAAAAGATTTTTAGGGCCCTAGTAATGTGAGGATGAGATCCTTCACTTGTTATGAATTTAGCATACATACATATATGCATACATACATACATACATACATACATACATACATACATACATACATACATACATACATACATACATACATACATACATACATACATACATACATACATACATACATACATACATACATACATACATACATACATACATACATACATACATACATACATACATACATACATACATACATACATACATACATACATACATACATACATACATACATACATACATACATACATACATACATACATACATACATACATACATACATACATACATACATACATACATACATACATACATACATACATACATACATACATACATATGAGCATACTCGGAAAGTAAGATTACAACATTTTACAAAAATCGAAAAATGAATATTTTATTAATAAAACTAATCACATATTACACAAGTAAAGCACTATTTTTCTACGAATCGCCATCGTTCAAAGCATTTGGTGAGTCGTAGTATCAACTTTTGTATTCCTGTGTCATACGTTTCTGCCGCCACCTCCCTTGATCATTCACACACGGCATTCTTCACCTTTTTGTCAGTGAAAAAACGTTTCCCGCTCATATGATTTTTCACCATGGTGAAAAGAAAAAAGTTACTTGATGCTAGGTCAGGACTATGGGCAGGATGGTTCAGAATATCCCAATCTGTTGAGGAGATCGATCGTTTTACGTGCAGTGGAAATGGCGATTACGTGGAAAAATAGTGCTTTGTGTAATATGTCACATAAGTTTTATATTAATAAATATTCATTTTTCGATTTTTGTAAAATGTTGTAACCTTACTTTCCGAATATGCCTTGTACATATATACCCTTTACAAATAAGCAGTTATTTTTTCAGAATATGTGCATGCGTGCGTGCGTGCGTGCGTGCGTGCGTGCGTGCGTGCGTGCGTGCGTGCGTGCGTGCGTGCGTGCGTGCGTGCGTGCATCAGTAAAAAATAATAACAAATTATTCATTTCTTCTCTCTATTTCCTCATTACTCACAGTATAAAAACTTAAATAACATCAATGTATTCAAATAATAATTACTTATTAGGTTGTCTAACAATCGTTGTAAGGCAATTATTGTCAGATTGTTTGTACTTTCTTATCATAGTCAAATATAAAAATTATTCGTTTAGACAGATTACAATATTCAATAACGAAATAATAAATATTTCATTATATTTAAATTATTATTTTATGAATCATAATTTAAATACAAAATTAATTTGGATGGAAACAATAAAAAATAGTTATATTTAAATTTTTCGAAGTCCATACCGACGACGATTCTAGTGTGAAACATTCAACGCTCCTCTTTGGAGGCACAACTCTATATAAAATTGTTAAGAAATATAATAAGATATAAAAATATAAGGCGTTTAATTAAAGAATAGAATGAATGAATTAATAAAACCAATCTATAAATTTTATGTAAAATCCACTCATATATATATATATGAGTGGATTTTACATAAAATTTTTAATATACATATATACATATATATCGATTCGCGGATGACATGATGAAAAGTTACGTAAGACAGATAACATTTTAGAAAACATCGGCACGTAAATATCTTCATACAATGAGAGAATTATAAAATTATTACTTGCAATAAGATTACAACAAACAGACTTTTAGTTTATATATTAGGTGTTGGAATTAATTCGTAGCGTTTTACAAGTGATGGGAAGTACTTTCGCTACTACTAATGCTCATGTGAAATAAATAACATTCTTTCATTAAAAAACGCTACGAATTAATTCCAACACCTAATATATATATAATTTATGTGCCGATGTTTTCTAAAATGTTATCTGTCTTACGTAACTTTTCATCATGTCATCCGCGAATCGATCAACATGAAGCAATTCTATTGAAACAGAATGAAAAATAACAAACGTGCGATAAATATGTTATGTGATAAATAATTGCAGCTTCTAACTCGATGTAATAATTTGTTTATGATATATAATACATATTCGCTTAAGCAAAGGTTGAGATTTTTTATGTCGTCTGACCTAAAAACACAAAAAATTGTACATGGAGCCACGAGAATTTCAGCAAAAGGAGAAAGTATCATGACTTCTCGACTTGGCCTTCAGTACAATCACCCGAGCGAGATGACGGTTTAGTCTTGCCTCGGCTTTCATTCCTCGAACATCTCTCACTGTACCGGTATCGAAAACAAAAATAAAAGTGAGAGTAGATAAAAGATAAGGGACAATAATAAGGGAAAGTTAAGGGACAATAATAAGGGACAAAGATAAGGGAAACAAAGTGTTTGGTAAGAGACCTCTAAAAGAAGCGATCAATCAAGCTTTTGTTGCATTACCGAAATATCTGGCGCGATTAAGTAATACACTTTCACGTGTTAAAGCCTTTCTCGCAAATGTTTTCTCAATTGTGACATCGTACTTACGTGAAATTATAGTTTTGAAAAAAATGTATGATCACACAGAATTTCCAATAAAAACATTAAAATTAAAATTAAGAAAAGTTTAATTTAATACATTCCTTTTTATCACATAAATAATTCTATAATTACAAGCAAATAATTATAAACAAACATCTTGTAAGCACAAAATATCGTAAGATCATTATGAATACACAATAAATAATAAAAAGGCCTTATTGATCTGAGCTGGGCCTTAACGCTTAAATAACATTCTGGTATATAAATTTATATACTCTAATTCTATAAATATCTCTTAACAAAAATACGTCAAAGAAATGTCAACATTTTTTTGTAATAAAAAATTAAAGGAAACTTTTTTGTAATTTTTAACATAAATATTTTTCTCTTTTAGATAATTACGAGAGAGCGTGAAATAACGAAAAAAATGTTAATAACAATAGCATTTTGGCTGTTAGTTACTTTAATTTGTTTTTGGATTCTACTTGGTCCTGTTATGAGATTTCTGCGTGTTCTATGGGAAATTATTATACAAATATACAACAAGAAGGCAATCGATTTGCGAACAAAATTCGGCGAATGGGCAGGTAAGTCCATTAAAAAAAAATTATGTCTCTTAAATTTTAATTAGCTTTATAAATATTATTTAATTTATAAATATCATTTAAATTATTGAAACATCTTTGATTATATAGGGTGATTTTAACATATTTCGTCATCCATCATGAGCAGGTAGAGTGAATCGAAAAGTCCTCTACCATTTTGCAATTTTCGCAATAGTTAACAAGATTAATTACTAAAAATTGCCAAATATTGATCTTGAATAATTTTTAATCCAAATACAATCAACTGTATAGAAAAGCTGCAAGAGACAAAAATCATTTATTTTCTTCTCATAAAGTTCTGAGAATTTTTTCAGAATTTTTTAATACCGTATTTTCTCATGTTGGTAAAAATAAGAAAGTGCAGTTCTAAAAATTTGATAAAAAATTCTGAAAAAATTCTCAGAACTTTATGAGAAGAAAATAAATGATTTTTATCTCTTGCAGCTTTTCTATACAGTTGATTGTATTTGAGTAAAAAATTATTCAAGACTAATATTTGGTAATTTTTAGTAATTAATATCTTGTTAACTATTGCGAAAAATTTCAAAATGGTAGAGGACTTTTCGACTCAGTTCGATTCACTCTATCTGCTCATAATGGGTGAAGAAATATGTTAAAATCACCTTATATACATTAACTGTGATATTTTATTTTATCATTTTGGACATTTGCAAAACAAAAAAAGGTAATGAACATTTCATAAGAAATAACTATAAAGAAATTTTTATCAATTCCAATATAAAAATTAATTATATTTAAATATTATTTTAAAAAATAAAGAAAATAGATAATCAGGGTTATAAATAATGCGTATATTTTTTATATAATAAAGTTAATAATTAAAGATTACATTAAAAAGAAAAATTATATTGGCTAATTTTAAGCCATTGTTAGTTAAAGTTAATAAAAAAAAAGTGTAGTCTTTTTGTTTGCATTACACTGTGCCATCACAGTTCATGTGAGATAGTCAATTATGCTCCAATTGGAAAGCAATCCCAAACCAGTTAGGAAACTGGATGACATAAATTGATTAAATGCATCTCAAAGAAACGTAGAAGACATATCCGAAAAGATAGTAAATGCAGTGTAAGATTCAGATTACAAATAGTAAGAAAGATTAAACTGCGACTCAGAAATTAAAGTGATATCACACGAGATTATAAGATAAAATGCATACAGTAATCAAAAATTTAAATTGAAAGTTTGAAAACTAATAGAGTAAATGTATCAAACGTTACCACGTCAGAAACTATATGTAAATATTTTAGTTTCTGGCGTGGCAACGTTTGACACATTTACTCTATCAGTTTCTAAAACTTTCAATTTCAATCTTTGATTAACTGTATGCATTTTACTCTTGTGTGATATCATTTTAATTTCTAAATCACAGTTTAATCTTTCTTGATCTTTCACGCAATAGTAAAATATTATGTATATTACTTTTATGTGATATTTTAATTTCTGACTTGTCATTTAATCCTTCTTACTATTTATGATCTGACATTTACTATCTTTTTGGATATATAGGGTGTCCGGTAATTCTGATGATAGATAGACTACAATGTGCAAAAGAGCATATATGTATTTATATCGCTAATCTCTTTAATCTATTCTAATAGATTAAAATTAATTGAATATTTTTCAAAAATTTAATCTTAAGCTGTTACGTATTAAATTTCATTATATGAAAAAGCACACTATTTACAGCGCGATTCCCATAGACCTTTTCCTTTATTTTTTAAATGTTTAATTCTCAGTAATCTTATTTATCTATTTATAAACTTTTAATTATATTATTCTTTTAAATTATATTTTAAATTATGCTTAAAAATAATAATAAATATTTTTAGTTGTCACTGGGTCAACTGACGGTATTGGTAAAGCTTATGCTAAGGAATTAGCAGCAAGAAACATGAATCTAATATTAATCAGCAGAAACTTAGAAAAACTTAAACGCACAAAAGACGAGATGTTGTTAATAAATCCAAAAATTCAGGTGAGGATTCTTGCGGCGGATTTCACTGAAGGAGAAAATGCTTTTACGAAAATCCATTCTCTTTTGCAAGATATTTCCGTGGGCATATTAGGTAATTAAATTAATTATTATTTTGACTGTAACAATGTAGCTGTAGTTCATAGCCAACACAAGAAAAAAAATTATTAAATCCGTGTATGAACTGTTTTTTTTTTAAGTATAAGTCTAATTTTGAAAAAAAGTTTTAGCTTGTTTAAAAATAACATTAAAATAACTTTAATATAATTATTAAAAATCACTTTTTGTTTAGTTAAAATTCATTTTAATGTTATTTTATTGTAACATTATTGTGAACATTTAACGTTCTGTATATTTTGCAATTTCCAAAAACAGTTTTGATTTCTATTGACAATGAGATCTTTTTCAATTAATGATTTTTAGCAGACTTACATATGTAAATGTTTTTTTAAAGTAATACAGGGTGGGCCATCTATTGGTACGTTTTTGAATTTCGTCGTATGGCAACACCGAACGAGCTACAGACCCGAAATTTTGACAGTTTATTAGTCATACCGTCCGCGGCACGAAACAACATGTTTTCTCTTGAAGAGCGTTTTGAAATTTTAAAAACTTATTTTCAAAGTCAGTGCTGTGTCGCCGAAACTGTACGAATTTTGAAAAGAAATATGGGTCGTGATAGAGCACCCACCGAAGGAGCTATACGCAAATTGGTGAGGAAAGTTCGTGAGAAAGGGATGTTAGTGGATGACATTATATTACGACTGTTTTGAGTGAAATTGGCGCCGAGGTAGTCCAAAATGTCATTAATAATTGGGGTGACCGAATGGCATACTGTAAGGCCAGTAGAGGGAGCCACATGAACGAAATCGTTTTTCATTCTTGACGCAGATACTTTTAGCTTCACAACAAAAAAAAAATTAATAAAAAATATCAATGTATGCTCATTTGATCGCATTTTTAAAAACGTACCAATAGATGGCCCACCCTGTATAAGTAGCATCGATCAACAATTATTTTAAACCGCATCCAATCTTCCATATCCAATCTTGAACAAAATTCCAGCAAATCTTTTGCGCGAATAAAAATATTCAAATGTGTAAATGGCTTTAGGCTATATTATTCAATTAAATTAAGATATCATTAGTAATATTACACAATGTTATCTATATGCTGTAATAATAGCTCTATTTTTTCAAAAATTATTAATTATTACATTTATATTTATATCAAATAGACGTAATTTGACATTCAATATTATTTTTGTATTGTTACTATTATTACAATTTATATTTTATAATTATATTTTAAAATAGTTTACTTCAATTAAAATCTAAACATAAATTTAGTATAAGTCAATATAAGTCAATTTTTTACAATCTATTATTTTTGAAAGTAGTATAACTTGCTGTCAACAAAAATATTATTTTACTTAAGTAATGCTTATAAAAATTATATAATAATATAATAAAATTATGTGTCTACTGCCCGATTTATACGATGCAAGTTGATACATTTGCGAATTGATAATACCGGCTAAAAATATCAGACGTTAGCTTCATGTAAATAGATTGACCAATTTACTGTGAATTGAGCAGTATCTAGCAAAGCCAGCTACTTCAAATATTGTTGTTTTACTATCCACTGGCCTTTTCTCAACACGTACAAATAAATCAGCTATTGACCCTTTATGAATGCACAAGTCAATATGAACCGGTATAGCTGTCCAAACAGTACATAATAGAGATCTTAATGCTCGGTTTACATTATACGAGTTAATTGGCACATGAGTTGATAACATCAGTAGTTAAAGATCATATTGGCTCCGTGTAAAGGGATTAGCCAACTGACCATGCAAGATTGAGCAGTATCTGACAAGGCCAGCTACTTCATATATTTTTGTTTTACTACTGACCTTCTTCCATGATACAGACTATTAGTCTTTAAAGCCTGGTTTACACAATGCGAATTGTTAACTTGCTAATAAAAGTAGGTAGCCTTCTAACTGAGTGGTCACCTACTCGGTTCTTACTGATCTTTGTTATTTACGCGATTTAAGTCACTAGCTTGATAGTAAATCAATAATACTGATCTTCGAACTTGATGACTAATTATCTCAGCCATAGGTTCTTTATTACATATTAGGACTTCAAGATTGATTCGGATTTAAAGCTATCCGGACATTCGTACGTTTATCCAAATTACAAATAAATGTGATGCTTCAAATTCGGATTATCCGGAAATTCGAATTTTCTAAGATATCCGAGATTAAAATAGTAAAAGTCGAACCTGAAAGATGCGGTTCTCAGATTCGAAATCGTAGCAAACTTATAGCAAATTAGGTTGGCATTAATGTGGACTGAATATATATTAAAGTCATTATATTATACACTTATTTAATCTGAATGTAAAAGGGAAATACAAATATTTCTCTTATTATCCTTGTACATCTTTGTTATTACTATTTTAAGATTGAGAATCTGTTCTAAACATTTATATTTATAAACAATATTAAATCTTGTAGGACGTATATGTGAGAAACACAACTTATAGAAACAAATATCTTAAACGGTCTAGTTGGATTTCAAGTATAATTCTGTGTCTATCTATTTATTTTTTGTAATTTTATTTTTCTTCAATTATATATGTGAAAATTCAATTATATATATCAAAATTCAATTTTTATTTAAAAAATAACTTATGTTAAAATTCATTAAATACGTCGATGTTTTTTTTTTCTTTCTGGACATGGATCTAAATCCGGAGCCAAATTCAGATCCGCGGATTCCAATAATTCTGATATTCAGATTACCCGAATAATACGATTTTGAGTTCTCGGATCGGAATCAATTTCAGATATCCGAATATCTAGATATCCGAATACTTAAAAGTCCTATTACATACTATTTGAACAGTTACTAGCCATATTTATTTATATGTTCATAAAGTGCCAATAGCAGCTAGCCTATTTGCGCATATACATATAGCCTTACTGATGCTTAGTATTTTCCAGCAAAAGACATAAATGTAATAAAATGTAATAACGATCATGTTGTCTCTGTTTAACATTGATAAATAATAATAAGAATGATTTACTGGTTACACAGTGTTATCTGTGTTTCATGCTAAGAAACACTCACTATCACTCGTCCATGTAAACCGCAAGCATAACAAGGACAGAATACGTAGCTAATCATCTGATTTAGAAGCTATTGAATTTGGAATTATAAAATTATAAAACTTATATTTAAAAAAAGGGCTCATATTATATATTAAATAATCATTATTTAAGAAATATAAAAAATCAAAGATTAAGAAAGTAACTACGTAATAGTTATTTCTCTCTCAATTTACGTTTTCATGAATGATCACTATTTGTATTATTAGGTGTAGTAAAAAGATCCATTATTTTTCCAATAGATGGCTTTAGTAATTTGTATCTCGTCTACGCGTGATACAGATTACTAAAGCCATCTATTGGAAAAATAATGGATTTTTTTTTATTACACCTAATATTTTATAAATAATTAATGAAATTATTAATTATGAAAGATCGAATCTTTTGATTGGAAAAAAAATGAATAAGACCTCGATTCTCTCATTATCAGATTTCTTTCTAAAAATAAATATAATGAGATTCTATAGCGCAACATCAATATAAACAGATTTACTGAATTTTTTTTAAATACTATATACATAATTAACATGCATCATACGTAATTAACCTGCATAATTTGTTATTTAAAAATACATTTATGAAAATTTAGTAATATATGTAACACAATATATATTTATATATTGGGAATACAAATTAGTTCCGTTTTTTTGTGTTCAAAAATGCATTTATTTCAAAACAAAATGAATGAACAGATTAATTAAAGTATTGTCCATCGCTGACTACTACTTTTTCCCATCTCTCAGGCAATTTTCGAATTCCGTCTCGAAAAAATGACTCGTCTTTGGAGGCGATCCAATTTTGGAGAAATGAACCGGTGACTTGCCAAATCGTGCTGCATCCTTCCTTCGGAACAACCAATAATCAGAAGGAGCAATGTCCGGAGAATACGGCGGGTGCAGTAAAACATCCCATTTGAGCGTTTCCAAATATTTTGTTATGACTTTTGCGACATGAGGGCGAGCAATTGTCCATCGCTGGCTACTACTTTTTCCCATCTCTCAGGCAATTTTCGAATTCCATCTCGAAAAAATGACTCGTCTTTGGAGGCGATCTAATTTTGGAGCCAATTTTCGATTTCTGCGAAAGAAGTGAAGCGATGACTTGCCAAATCGTGCTGCATCCTTCGGAAAAGCATACAGAGCATGATCTTCGAACCATGAATGTTCGGCTTTGGTGTTGATGTTGAAGTCGATGGCAACGATTGACCGGGCTTAGCGTCGTATTTTTTCTTCTTGGGGTTGTCGTAGAATATCCACTTCTCATCTCCAGTCATAATCCGATGCAAAAAACCTTTTCTTTGTTGTCTTTGAATCAGCTGTTCGCAAGTGAAAAATCGCCTTTCAACGTCTCTCGGTTTCAGTTCATAAGGCACCTAATTTCCTTGTTTTTGAATTATTCCCATGACTCTCAATCGTGCAGAAACGGCTTGTTGAGTTACTCCCAATGATTCTGCAAGCTCCTCTTGCGTTTGACTCTGATCTTCTTCGAGTAATGCCTCTAATTCTTTGTCTTCAAATTTTTTTGGCTGTCCAGAGCGAGGCTTGACTTCAATGCTGAAATCTCCATCCTTGAAACGTCGAAACCATTCCCTACATGATTTATCAGTTGGAGCAATGTCACCATAAACTTCGACAAGCATTCGATGGGCTTTTCTTCCAATTAAAGCAAATTAGAACCTCCCAAATGCTGCTTGGTTAACACAAAATTCGACATTTCAAACACAGTAAAAATCAAGATTTTTGTATGAAACTCAAAGCGATATAAACTGAATATTATTAGCAGATGTCTAACCTCTCTGAAAACCAAAATCAGCTGTCACTATGAACCATTCACAACAGCCGGATCTATCTTTTGAAAAACGGACCGAACTAATTTATACTCCCAATATATATATATAAAGTAAATGGTCAAAAACAAGCAATAAAGTAAATATACATATATGACATAAATATTAAATTTTATTCAATATTATAACAAATGAACAAGCATAGACACGTTTCAAACTCACAGATTTTTTTTCAGCACTGCTTAGAATAAATATAAAAAATTGACCGATTTAAATATAAAACCGATTTAAATATAAAGAAAAAATATTATTAAGAAGTCAAAACACAAACAGATACATCAGAAGTTAAAATATATACATAACATAATAAATAAATAAGTATTAAAAACTTCTTTGTTTTATTAAAAATCTATTATCGAAATCTTCAGTGGAAAAAATCGTAAAAGATAGAAGGACATTGAGGTTTTAAAAATATGTATAGCGTGATTTACACGGGGCGACTTTTATTCGCTAGAAGCCGCGTCTACTGATGTCATTAATTCGCCAGCGAATTCTCTCGACTCTGCTGCTATTCGCTTGAAGCAAGCTTCTTAATTTGTCCGCAAATTCGCTGATGAAAGCTTCTTGTACACGCTTAGTTTTTATTCGCTAGCGACTAAAATTTTGAAGCAGTGTTAAGTGATCAAGCGAATAGTTGGTCACAAAGCACAAGCGGCTCGAAGTATGTCATTCGATGACACGATTATTCTCTAATATTTATGGTCTGAGTTTATGGTATGAGTGGCTGAGGCTTTCGAAAAAATTCGCTTTTTACGTTGACGACTTAAAAATTCGCTCTGAAGGAGCAGCAAAAAACTAGCGACAAGCCAGCGACAAGCGTCGAAAGCGATATTCGCCGCGACTATACACTATAAGAACAAACCCACGTCTAAAAGAAGTTTTTAATAACGAATAAAAATCGCCCCGTGTAAATCACGTTTATAGAATTGGCAGTAACTAGTTAATATATAGATACACACACACACACACACACACACACACACACACACACACACACACACATATATATAAGTTAAAAGTTAAATAAAAAATTAAAAGTTAATAACTTTTTTAACTTAATTTAGTTAATTTTAAATTAATTAATTTTTAACTTAACCTAGTTACTTTTAAACTTTAACAAGGCTTCATAAGAATGTCATATTTAGCTGGCAGGACGTTCACAGGACATCCCATGCTATTAGGGAGCAACTTTTAATGTAGCTAGATTTATTTTGTAAGTTATTAATTTTTAACTTAATTTAATAAAAAAAAACATTGACGTATCCAATTTTGATGTAGCATAACCATTTCTTCAGTCTCGGGTGAAAAAGTGTTAAGTTTTGGTGATATTTAGAGTATAATTGTCAGTATAATTGTCAAAGTAAAAAAAATTTACGATTTACATATGTAGTCAAAATAATAAAAAATTTTAATCCATGAAAAATATAATACTAACGAAGATAATTTTGTAATTTTAAAGGTGAAACAGATGTAATAGTATAGGAAATCAAACTCGTATTTGTAATTAAAACTGAAGTAATTTACATTAAAAAGAAAAAATTGCGATTTTAAATCGATTTCTTTTGTGAAAAATTGATTTTTTTATTTTTCTAACTAAATGGGATTATTTTAAATCAAAATGTCTTTGTAAAGAAATTTGACTGAGACGAAAACCGCACTGAGTATCAGTGTGTTCCTCGCCCTGATGAAGTGAACGGCAAGGTTCACGAAATATTAGCAATTTAAAATTATTTTTATATTCTTTTATTTTCTTTAGTCTTTTTGTCTCACTAACATTTAAAATGCATTTGTTACTTGATCGCGACACTTCAATGTTCAGCTCGCTTTATTATCAGAGGTCATTCTCTCATGGAACAAAGAGAATAGATAATGCATAACATGATAATACACAAGTCAAAAGTATATAAATTAATACATACCTAAATTAATTTACAGCATCGGTCTCCATACATGCAACATTAAATGACGCTTCTATATGGATATGATATATTAAACGATTTTTGTTTTAAGTGAATAATGTGGGTAAGCAATACGAATATCCCATGTATGTCGGAGAGGTACCCGAGAAGGAACTGTGGGACATTATCAATGTAAATGTGGGCGCCACTACGTTAATGACGCGGTTGGTTATCGGGCAGATGCAAAAACGCAGACAAGGCGCGATTGTCAACGTCTCCTCCGGATCTGAGTTTCAGCCATTGCCGTTGATGACTGTATACGCCGCTACGAAAGCGTATATGAAGAGTTTTTCCGATGCTCTCAGGGCGGAATATTCCAGATTCGGCGTAACTGTTCAACACCTGTCGCCTCTTTTCGTCAATACCAAAATGAACGCATTTAGTTCTAAGCTTCAGGTATCGAAACTATTATAATATTATTGAAATAATATTACTTATAACAATTTTCTGAATTGTTGAAAGAGTTAAAATCCTTAAAGCTTATTTTTTATAAATCAATTTGCTGCATGTTAATTTTATATTTTAGTTTGTATTCATATATTTTATATGAAAAGAACGGTTATTTTTAACAAAAAATATTTTCTTGATAATAATCTTGAAATGTACTTATTACAAATTCTAGTAAAACTCATTATTATGTACTTAAAACAAGAATTCATATTTTTTAAGTATATATACACGCATGCACGCACGTACACTTAAGTATTATATATACAGGGTATCCCAAAAATATTGCCAAATATTTCATGTGCAGATAGAGCGAACTAAACTGAGTCGAAAAGTCCTCTTTGAGAAAAGACCATTTTGCAATTTTCGCAATAGTTAACAAGACATTAATTATCGAGATAAAAATTGGTCTTCAATAATTTTTTACTCAAATACTATCAACTTTACAGAAAAATTGTAAGACACAAAAATTCTTTGAGTTTTATGAGAAGAAAATAAATAATTACAACTTAGTTTAACTCGCTCTACTTGCCCATGAAATATTTGGCGATTATTTTGGAACACCCTGTATATATACATTAAGTATATATACAGGGTGTTTGGAAATTAGTGATAAGTCTTTCGCATAGGAACAGAATGGACTAAAGAGAAGAAAAATTCTCTATCAATTAATTACAATAAAAATATATTAGATAAACCGCTCATATAAATTTCAAACAATAAAATAAGGGGTTTCTATTAGCCATTATAACTCCTCTACCATTTTACAATTGTCGCAATGATTAATGAGTTATTAACTTATAAAAATAGCCAAATTCGCCCAGCCCACCGCCAAATGCAAGCGCGCTACAAGAGGATTGCTCAGCGCGATAAGGCATGCGTTCACTGTCGCTAGACACGTAATTGCTTATAAACAATAATCTAGTTAGGGCAGACGCGCCTTGCCGCACGGGGCAAATACTATCCCTAGGTACATTCGGCATTGCAAATCAAAGGTGTCCGTTTGCTCTTTTACCTCGAAAAACGTTCGGCAACTCGCATTTTTCTGCTACATGTCATCTCATCTGCATTCGATATTAATATTTCCAAACACCTTGTATATATACTTAAATATATACCTATATATATTATAAAACTGAAGAAACAACTTTTTACTAACTTTTTAATAATCAAATCAAATTTATTTTAATTTAATAATTTTAATTGAAGTATTAAACTTACTAAGTTTCAGAATCAATTTGATGCTTGTGAATGTGATGTGGAGAACTTACGATTTGCGGATATATGAATTTTTTAAATATTAGGAGTACAAATTAGTTGGGTCCGTTTTTTTGTGTTCAAAAATGCATTTATTTCAAAACAAAATGAATGAACAGATTAATTAAAATATTGTCCATCGCTGGCTACTACTTTTTTCCCATCTCTCAGGCAATTTTCGAAATCCATCTCGAAAAAATGACTCGTCTTTGAAGGCGACCCAATTTTGGAGAAGTGAATCGATGACTTGCCAAATCAATGCACGGCTCAAACGAATCAATTGTAGCCGATACCGATCGCCCGTAATGGAATCGCCAGGTTTCAGCAGTTCATAGTAAACAACACCCTTTTGGTCCCATCAGATACAGGGCATGATCTTCGAATCATGAATGTTCGGCTTTGGTGTTGATGTTAAAGTCGATGGCAACGATTGACCGGGCTTAGCGTAGTATTTTTTCTTCTTGGAGTTGTCGTAGAATATCCACTTCTCATCTCCAGTCACAATCCGATGTAAAAAACCTTTTCTTTGTTGTCTTTGAATCAGCTGTTCGCAAGTGAAAAATCGCCTTTCAACGTCTCTCGGTTTCAGTTCATAAGGCACCCACTTTTCTTGTTTTTGAATTATTCCCATGGCTCTCAATCGTGCAGAAACGGCTTGTTGAGTTACTCCCAATGATTCTGCAAGCTCCTCTTGCGTTTGACTCTGATCTTCTTCGAGTAATGCCTCTAATTCTTTGTCTTCAAATTTTTTTGGCTGTCCAGAGCGAGGCTTGACTTCAATGCTGAAATCTCCATCCTTGAAACGTCGAAACCATTCCCTACATGATTTATCAGTTGGAGCAATGTCACCATAAACTTCGACAAGCATTCGATGGGCTTCAGCTGCACTTTTCTTCCAATTAAAGCAAATTAGAATCTCCCAAATGCTGCTTGGTTAACACAAAATTTGACATTTCAAACACAGTAAAAATCAAGGTTTTTGTATGAAACTCAAAGCGATATAAACTGAATATTATTAGCAGATGTCTAACCTCTCTGAAAACGCCAAAATCAGCTGTCACTATGAATCATTCATAACAGCCGAAACCATCTTTTGGAAAACGGACCGAATTAATTTGTACTCCCAATACTTAGTAAATATTTTAGTAATAATTAGCATTTGCGGACTATGTGTATTTTTCTGTGTAAGGGATGAAGGGAATACATTCATAACATCTGATCAGAATTTCAAGATAATATTAATTTTGTTTTTAACGAAAAATGTTAAATAAAAAATGTTTTATACATTAAAGGTCTATTATTTTGGAAATTTAACATTGGAAATCTGACTTTCAATATCATTTTCATCATTCAAAAATCTATAAGAAACACCTTATGTGATACAAAATATTTTTTCTGCTATAAATCAATGTAATTATGTAAAACGCTCAAATATGGTGATAAACAATAGCTACAAAAGGTTTTAATATTTTAATAATCAGTTTGAGCGTTCTTCATAATCATTTTGTTTGTCTGACAAAATTATTTTTTAAATTTATATGTATGTACTTAACTAAAGTTTTAAATACTTCAGCAAAACCGTTCTTTTCATGTATTACTTCAAGCTTAGAATAATTTATTATTCTATTTATTATTCTAGTTATTTTTGTTTAATCTATATTTTCATGCGATTATTGAAAAATGTAGACGTTTTATTTAAAACTGCAGGTTTCAAGTATATTTGTACCTGATGCTACAACTTATGCAAGAAATGCTATTGCCACTCTGGGCAAAATGAACAGCAGTACTGGTTATTGGGCCCATAGTATTCAAAAGTTCATCACTCTAATGTCACCTGTATGGATTAGAATGAAAATTGGACAAATTATGAATGAAAGTTTCAGACAAGATTATTTCAAGCAACAAAAACAAAAGACATTGCAATAATATATTTTAAATAAACAGTTTGTCTTTTTTGAAGATATTATATCGTACTGACATAGAAACTAATTTTTAGCAATTTTTAATTATTACAAGTAATATATAATAGTATAATATAAAAAGAAAATACAGTAGGAGAGAAAAAGAGTGTACGTGCGTGTGAATGCGAAAAAGAAAGAGAGAAAGAAATATAAATTAATAATACTTGTATAATATAGGGCTATGAACCACTCAAGTTATTATGTGAGTAAATTTATTTATATCAATAATCTAAAAAATTTTGTAACAGATGTGATGTTTCGATCGGGTCATTTCAATGTTAATAATAATTTTAAAAAAGTTACCGGTAACTACGCAAGATATTCACAAATAAAAATATAAAATATAAAAAAAATCGCCTTTATTCATAGCCTTATATTATGTTATTAATTTATTTAATTAAAGTTAAATCGTTATTCTTTATGGAAATATAAACTTTTTTTTATTATACTTGAATATTTTTATTTAGCAAAACTTCAACTTCCACTTCTTCCACAACTAATTTTCTCTTCTCTAGATTAAGACTCCTATCTTCCTTTGCCTAAATATTCTTATTCTAATAATGCGATTGTGTAAGTTGAAGTTGCAATACGCATGCAATTTTGATCAATTTGTTTTTTAAATAAATAAATAAATAATAATAAATAAATAAATTATTTATTTATTTAATAAATAAATAAAAAATAAATTAGGTTTTTTTTTAATTAAAAATGATATCTCTGTAACTCTCGAATTTAACAATAATATAAAGGCATATGAGAGTATAATAAAGCGTATTCAGTATATATTTTCTTTATTAATAAGTATAAATTTTGAACGTTTTGACTCTTTTTTAAGTCTTTTTCAGCGAGACACGTTCATATAATCCAATGTGTGAGGACATCTCATCCTAGATGAAAGCCAGATTCAAAATGAAAATCCATTATTATTATTGAAATTCTGTAACCATCCTGTGATATTTCACGAACGGGAGGGTCCCAGATGTGCATAAAAAAAATCGATTGTCCAAATCGAACACAATTCCAAATATTCCAATCCGACACAATGAAACGAACCCACGACAATCTTAATCGGACACAGTTCCAATCGGACACAAATTAAAACGGACAGTGATTATACAATTTAGCAATGACCATCTCAAAAATCAATAGACTTAGGCTTATTTGACGCGTTTTGACTCTCCCCCCCCCCTCCTAAAGGGATGCACTTCTATAATTGTACTGTTAAGGTTAGAAAATCTGTCATGTAGATAGTGTATAGGCTAGTGCTTATTGGTTCGGGGTAGCTACGCCACCTCGAACAAAAAAGATAACATATCCTACCTGCTTGGAACCTAACCATGTAGAAGTTACAACGTAAACAGCTTGGAATATTTTTAACCTATGAAGACAATGGAATGTGGAACAGTCTTTTTAGAGCGGTTTTTTTACTGTCTGCAACTTTTAGGCAATTAGACCCCAAACGGATAGGATGGTATCTTTATTTGTTCGGGGCGGCGTAACCGCCTATACACCTCATTGTCTACATGATAGATTTTCTAACCTCAACCTGAACAACAACAGTATAATTATAAAAGTTGTGCATCTCTCTGCAAGAGAGGGAGAGAGGTAAGAGTCGCTTCGCGTAAAAAGTTGATATCTATATGCAACAATACAATTATAGAAATCGAATTGTGTCCGATTGGGACCGCCATGTGTCCGTTTCAACTTGTGTCCGATTGAGTCCGTTTTAATTTGTGTTCGATTGGAATTGTGTCCGATAGAAGCTGTCATATGTTCCCTTCTATCTGTGTACAATTGGGACTGTGTTCGATTTGAACAGCCTGCTGTGTCCGATTATTTTTGTATGCATTTGGGACCCTCCCTAAGGGTGAAATCACACGATGCGGAAAACGACTGCGGAATAGAGAATGCATCATATGCAACCAATCAGCGTTATTCTGCGTTATTCCGATTAGCGCTGATTGATTGCTTCTATAACGCATTCTCTATTCCGCAGTCGTATTCCGCACCGTCTGATTTCACCCCTAAGAAACAAATGCAAAACAAACTAAAATCTTCTATCTAAATCTAAATTAAAGCGAGCGGTTTAGTGTAGCAATTGCGTCACAGCGACTTCTGCCTAGGGAGTTTTTTTATTTTTTTTTTCTAACGCTGTGATTGGCTTGTGCGCAATTGGCTTGTGTACAATTGCAAGATCGACTCTTAAATTAAATAAGAGATGGCTTACCACATTAGGAAAAAGTGCTCTTGAACAAATAAAAATGCAGATTATATTCACAAGATTTTGATCAATTGAATATGTCAAAGAATGAGCAACACATATTTTATCACACAATAACATAGAATGATTGACTTATTTAGCCAATCAAAATCTTGTAAATATAACTTGCATTTTTATTTATTAAAGACACTTCCTAACGTGGTAAGCCATCTTCAATTTAATTTAAGATAGTTTGTTTCGCATCCGTTTCTTACGTGAAATATTGGGTCATCTAAAAAGTATCCTCGGTTTTTTGTCACTAGATGTGTGTTGATGGTCATATATCTAGTGACAAAGTACCGCGGATACTTTTTAGGTGACCCAATATCACAAAATGGTTACAAAATTTCAACAATAATGGTGAATTTTTACCTTGGATCTGTCAATTCAGGAGTGATTTCCATCTAGGAGGTGTCCTCATACATTGAATTGTATGAACGTGTCTCGCTGAAGAAGACTAAAAAAAAAGTCGAAATATTCGAAATTTATACTTATTAATAAGGAAAATATGCAATGAATTCGCTCTATTAACCGCGTTATACTCACCTTACATTATTATTTTTTAATTTTTTATTAATACTATAACGTCAATAGATAATTCAGCCAATGATTCAATTTATTAACACTTAATAAAATTAATTAACAAAATAACAGTATTTAATTACTGTGTAGTAACTTTTTGTAGTAATTTTTAGTAACAAATTTTTTTAAAGGACACTGTAGCCCGTCAATTTGCTTTTATAAATATATTTTTTCTGAAAATGCGCAAAATGCTAAAAATTTTTTTTTTACATTTTGTGTATATATGTACAGGGTTGGCCATATTCGACGGAAAGATCTGGCAACACTGTAACTTTTGACAGAGATGTTAGATCGAATAACGACGTTTCCCATGATTGAAAAAAAAAACATCTTTCCGTCGAATATGGCCAACCCTATATACTGATCGATGAGATTTAATTCGATTTCTTATCTACGATCGCTAATTTACTAACACTGATTTAATCATCAATTAATACAATACTTTGAATAGATAATGAGGAGAAACCGAATTAAATTTCGTTAGTATCTTTAATATTATCGCTCGTTGCGCAAGACCATCAAAGTTTAGTAAACAACTGTGCGTGTTCCGAAACTTACAAAAAAACGTTTTTTCCTACTGTGCATATATTATTAGAAAGAAACCTGAGAGAAGACATGAGAACTTGAAGACATGAGGACTTTTTCTTGTAACCGCAAAATGCCGCGCATTACTGCCCTCAAGAAGTAGATATAATCTATACAACAATATTCTTTTTTTTTTTTGCGGTGCTCCTGAAAATAAATCGCTAAAATCGCTGAAACAACTAAAATCTGTCAAATTAATAGAGATTCAGGTTTCTCTCTGCCTATTCATATATTATCCTATAATCAGATCTTATATTTAAGATCGTCTTAAGTACAATCTTAAGATGTCATGAATCAATCAGAAAGCCGCATTAGCATCTTAAACATTACTTAAGATAGTCAAATAAGAATCGACTATATGAATACCTTAGTACCTATTGCATGCCTTAATGCCTATTACACATTGGATACGATGAGAGATGAAACAGAACTTTTATGATTTAAAGCCGATATGTATAATATAAGAAATTTATTTGTTAATACCTTTAAAATATCTAATTTTAATTATATTGTTGAAATTAGATATTTTAAAAGTATTAACAAATAATAAATTTCTTATATTACATATCAGCTTTAAATCGTAAAAGTTCTGCTTTTTTATATGTGACGATCCAAAGCAGAGTTTTTATTGGATATCGCTCATCGCTCATATAACACAAATATAGGATGGGAATTTCTAAAACATGGCAAACCAATCAATGCGATATTTTATCATATTGCAATTTGTAATTTGAATAAAGTTGGAATTGTAAACAAACTACATTTAATTTAAAGTTATAAAAAAATTTAAATGAATAAAAAAGAATCAATCTGTAGAGACTCCACTATCCTGGCTAATTTTTAATGGCTCTTTTTCTCAGACACCTTTCTCAAACACCAATATATACGAGGGCAAGGTGAAAAATTCTCGGCCTAGAAAGTGAAAGAATAAGTTTTTTACTTTAAAAATACATTTATTATATATTTTAGCAGTACCATCTATGTTAGGCCGAGAACTTTTCATCTTGCCCTCGTAACAATTACATATAACTGTAGTTAATTAATTATATGTAGGCTGCTAGAAAAGTTTCTGCAAACAATATGAAAAAAAAACATGTAAAATTCGGTAAATGGCTTTATTGTTTTTCGAAGTATTCGCTTTTAAGATCGATCCATTTTTGCATACGCTTGAACCAATTTTCGAAGCATTTTTTCCACTCTGAGGCTATAATCTCAGAAATGAGTGTACGAAATGTTTCAACAGCTGCTTCAGGCGACTCAAATCGCTCATCACGCATCTTTTTTTTAATGTTTGGGAATAAAAAGAAGTCATTAGGTGATAAATCAGGTGAATACAGACAATGAGTCTCCAATTCGACATTTTTACTGGCTAAAAAATCAACGGTTTGACGTACTGTGTGACAGCTGGTCACAGATGGTTATCATGATGAAGGATGATGCGACGATTTCGATTTGTTCTACGCAATTCATTTATGACTTCTGGCAAACAAATTGTTGTATACCAATCAATATTTACAATCCTTCGATCCTCTAAAACCACGGTTGCCACATGTCCGGTATGACTGAAGAAACAAGCAATCATTTGCTTGACAGCACTGCGTGAACGAACAACTTTTGTTGGTTTCGGTTCATTTTGAAATATCCAAAGTGGATTGTTGTTTACTTTCGGGCTCGTACGAATAGATTCATGTTTCGTCCCCAGTAATGATGTTGTAGACCAAATTTGACCGACCTTGATTGAATTTCTTGAGCATTTTTTTACTCCATTTAACACGAGCCAGTTTTTGAGCTTCGGTCAAATTGTGTGGGATCCAACGACTGCAAAGTTTCCGTATGCTCAAATGATTATGCAAAATCATATGTATTACTTTCATATCAATGCCTAAGGGTGCCTGAATCTCGGGGGGTGTCATATGCCGGTCTCGCTCAATCATTTCACGCACAACATCAACATTAGTGGTAACAACAGACGTGGATGGACGACCTTCACGGAATTCGTCACAAAGAAAAGTACGTCCACGCTGGAATTCGGCAAACCAATTATAAACAGTCCTATTGGATGGTGCTTCATCCCCAAAAGTCAAATGAAGTCGATCGATGCATTGTTTCGGAATTAAATTATATTTGTAATCGTAAAAAATCATTGCCCGAAAATTTTCACGCTAAATTTAAATTTTTTCACAAAATAACTTCTTTTAAAATATTATACAAACAAAACTTGCTTAGTTGGCTTGGATACAAACTGTCAACTGAATTATAGGTTAAAAACATCTAATTTTACGGATATGATAGTAGCAGAACGTTGGCGCCACTGAAAGTATTAGATTGCAGAAACTTTTTCAGCAGCCTACTTTTTAATATAACGGTTTTATCAATAAAAGCGTATTCTGAATATGGAACAGGGTAGGTTTGATATACATTCTAAAAGTTTGATACGTATGATATGTATGAATACGTATCATATGTAGAATATGTATCAAACTTGTGATATCTTTAACATAACCCTAATCTCTAATTTATTAATCTTATTGACTAAAAAAACAATATTTTTAGGTTTTTGAAGTTTTGAAGTATATTGCTAATTGGAAATAGCTCCAAAAACTTTCCAGTTTTATTAAAAATGTAGTTTGCAAATAAAAAACGGAAAAGAAATAATAATGTAAGTGCAGTATATACATGAATTTGATATACAATAATATTAGTAATTCGTTGTAATTTTTGCTCTTGTAGCGTGGATTTAATTTGAAAGTATATACAATCCGATTATGCCATAATTTTTTAATTAATTTTTAATATAATTACATATTGTTGTATTTCAAATGATCGCAATAAAATATAAATTTGTTTTGCCAGTCCAAAACATTTAAATAAGATCATCAGATTAAAAAATGAGATTATGTGACGTATAATATATTGGGTCATCTAAAAAGTATCCGCGGTTTTTTGTCATTAGATGTGTGTTGATGGTCATATATCTAGTGACAAAGTACCGCGGATACTTTTTAGATGACCCAATATAAACGTATGAAAGTAAAGTGGTATCACTTTAGGGGTCTTATTCTTGAAAAGTATTGCATACGAAAAACTAGGGAAATGTTATATATTGGGTCATTTAAAAAGTATCCGCGGTTTTTTGTCACTAGATGTGTGTTGATGGTCATATATCTAGTGACAAAGTACCGCGGATACTTTTTAGATGACCCAATACTATATAGTATGTATTACATATATAGCATTTCTCTAGTTTTTCGTCCATGTATGTATATGTATGACTTGTGTTCGTTTAACGATTCTTTCTGCGATTTATTTCATTTTGTGCAGGCTTATTATATTATAATTTTTTCAGATATTAACAAAATGAATTCAGAAGAAACGTAAGTATAATTGTAATGATACATAGGATCAATGTAATTTTTCATTGTCAATGATATACTGTATTATTATTCTATCATTCATTGATGACATTAAATATTAAATCATTATCAATTTATTGGAAAAAATGTTTAGTAAACATATGTATTAATTATTGCACAACATAATATTTAATATCACAAAAATAGCATCTAGCTGTCAACTTCTCTCTTCTCTTCAGTCAACATAACCTTGCAAAATGGACAACCAAAGCAAAACAAAATCTATTATATTGGGTCATCTAAAAAGTATCCGCGGTATTTTGTCACTAGATATATAATCAACACACATCTAGTGACAAAAAACCGTGAATACTTTTTAGATGACCCAATATATATTATTAAAATATTTAAAATAAACAGGATTTTACTTTGTTTTTATAGGATTTACACAATGTTTGTGGCATGCTACTACAAAAATTAGTAGCAAATACTTTGAAAAAACTATTCCAACATATTGTCTAAATAATATATACAAGGTGCGTCACAAAAATCCGGACAAATTTCAATTTAAATTTTCCGCTTTATTGTGCCTCTGCCAGAGGTTGTTGGCGTCCGAGAAAGCTTGATGCTTCTAGTAAACAGTCATATTCTCAAAATGACCGCGAAACACAAAATGTTGAAATCAAGTGCGAAGTATAATAGAAGAGCCGCGATCATCGAAGGCCTTCACGCTGGACGCTCATCAACGAAAATAATTCGATTCTTTGGATACCCGAGATCAGCCATTTATGACATTGTGACAAAATATACGGCTTTAGAATAGTCGAACGAAGGTTCCAATATGCCAGCGAAGAAGAGTCACTCGAAAGAACGCACTGCGAGGACCCCCGCAGTCGTTGAAAGGGCTCAAGCGCTGATTTCGGATGACTCAGGGCAATCGTTGCGAAAATTAGCATCGATTGTTGACATAAGCGAGCCAACAATGCGTCGAATTGCCGAGGACCTTCGAAAAAAAAAAACAAATTACAAATCGTACACATTAAAGATACGACAAATGCTCTCTGAGGTTATCAGGACAAGTCGAGTTGCTTGCCTCGGCTCTCATTCTGGCAATATTTAATTTTTCATTAAAAACATTTTGTTTAAAGAAATTGTTCGATTTGTCCAGATTTTGGTGATGCACCCTGTATATTATAATGGTTTTTTATTTATGGTATTTATTTTTATTTATATATTATATAATAAATTCATACATGATTTCTAATTCCCTAACTCTAATATTATATTATTCAACATTATTTAACAACTGTATTATTACAATATTGCAAATGAATAAAAATTTTTGCATATATACTAATTTGATTAATATACTTGATATATAAGATTATGTTTTTTAATGATTTCGAAATTTGTTAGACATTATTTCGTTACACATGCATTGACAATTTATATCTCGTGTATTAAAATATTTGAAAAATTATATGATGTAATTATGTCACTTACCGTTAACGATTTGTAATTTCACCAAAGGTGACCGCTGATGTAGACATGTTACCATCACAAGAGATCAACGCGTAAGCTGGTTCTACATTAGTTGCAAGCCAATCGCAAATTTGTGCGACAGTGTCAATATGAAGCGTTGATTTCAAAATGCAAGCTTCAGATTGGCTGTCGCAACAAATTGCGATCAACTTGCAACTAATATAGAACCGGCTTTTAACAACACTGACAACTGTAGACGTCTAAAGACAGTTACAGAATCACGCCCCTGGAAATAGTGGAATCGCGCGGGAAAGCGACGAGGAGTAGGTCACGATGACGTGGGAGAAAGTCACGTGATCCGATCGAAACCCGAGCGGAACCCGACGACGCCGACGCTCGCATTCCCCATCCATGAGGCTCGTAAAGAAGACGTTTGGATTATCTCTGCGTTCCAGAATACGAGTAAGATGATGCTGTAGTTTAACGAAAGACTTGCACACGCAAGTGTGCCGACGCCCCTTAAGTAATCATGCGGTAAGTGGTACACAATTGTTTATCTCATTGGGATATTTCGCATAGGGTTTGGGTTTCTTGTGCCTGCTACGAGGTTCGTTGGCCATCTTGTGAGTCGTCATCACGTCAAATATGAATTGTCACGATAAAAAGATGGCCATGCCTCGCTATATTAGAGAGACATTTTACATCATTCCGTCGTCCAATTGCGCATTACGTTAATACACCATGTAAATGTCGCGATTCGTGCATGTTGTCCGATCTTGTCAAAAGATGTTGCCGGACAATAATCTCATATTGCGTCATGATGCTTCCTGCATCAATGGGTAACCGTTGGTTGATTTCCCAACGCAATCTGTATACGAAAAAAAATCGGCTTTCGCTAAGATAAGCGAGAAATAATCATCCGAGATTTCCGGTGGTTCGGAAATTAGATTTTTGTTACTGTCCGTCATCTGGGTGTAAATTCAATTTGTAAAACTTGTGAAAAAATCTATATATATATATATATATAATTAAAAATGTAAAAAAGTGTACAGAATTTTAATTGAATATATAAAAAACAAAATTTACATTTTATTTAATATTAAAATTATCAATGATTAATTTCTATCACTTGAGTATATATGTACATACATATTTGTATAGATACATATCTGTTCTTTGTAATTGAGTTAATTTGCATTTATTGTACACATGACGTCACCAATGCTTCAACACATGAAGTTGCACGAGAAGGTATCGGAGAAGGAATGAGAAGGCATATTAAAGCATTTTGTGTGAGGCCGTGTATATGTATGTAAATTAAAATAAATATAGGTATATTTGAAGTGTGTGTGGTAAAAGAAGGTGCTTCTGATAATTCAAGTTCCACATTTCTTCAAATTTGATTTTTTTTAAAACAAACAATGCGAAAAATTATTTTTTATGTCTTCTCATTATTATTTTTTTAGTACACTAACAAGTAATTTCACAAAAGAAAGAATGTATAAACATGGACATATTTCATATATAATTACATATGTTTATGAATATTTATGCATGTTATATATATTTACACATATTTATGTATACATATTCTTGTATGAAGTTTTTTATTGGGAAATTAAATAATTATAGTTAAATTTTTTCAATTTACAGTAACGATTTTAAAACGATAATTTTATATGATTGTAATTTTAAGTAAATTAAATCTTATAAATAAATTAATAAAAGCATATTATATCTCGCAATTTATAAAATTTTGCAAAATTACCTTTTGTTGTTCCTCTAATTTTATTGCTACTAGCTAATCCAAATCCACTTATGGTGTACAAGATAATGTTGAGTTGTTATTAATCATGAAGGTATTAAGTGATCATCATATTTTTCAATCCTAATGGAACTAACTTGAACTTGAATTACAGAAGCATCTATAGAATAAGATGAAAGTTAAAGTCTTTTATTTCCACACTAGTTCGCATTAGAACTCTTTGTTACTTACCAAATGTCAAACATATACCTATCTCACTTTAAGTGTACACAAAAGTATACATTCAGTTCAGCCATAGAAAACAGATCTAAACGCCTGGTTTCTTATTGTCTGGTTCATTATCTGTTTAACTTGTAATTAGGTTAACCTAATGTCATCATCCATGACATCATGATAGATAAAGGTCATTGGATAAAACATCAGATTAAATCTAACCACAAGTTAAACAGATAATGAAAAATCGGTACTTAGTGTTGTCCAGTGCAGAGACAAAGAACAAGATAAAAATCAGAAAATTATTAAAAAATATAACTATAAAAATGAAATTTGTTTGAGATTTTTTGAGCACTACACTTATAAGTTAAAAAATGGGCAAGCGAGAGAAATGATTTTTTTTGTTATTTATATTCTTCTCACTTATTTGTTCGTTTCTTTGATTTGTTATTAACATAGAAATTATTTATTTTTCAGTGCCAATATGGCGTTCATTACTAGCTACGTCGCTAAGCCGACCAAAATTTCTTTTCATCGTTCTTTAAAACCCCTCGGTTGGATTCGCATTGAAAATGTCATCCAGTCAGGACCAGATGTGGCTATGGAAGTACGAGCCGGTGTCCCGCAGTGGGACACCGTCATTAGAAATTGATGACGATTGGCCTTTATTCGATGATCATTCTGTAGAAATTTCTAACAATACTGCGGAAGCTGTTATGTATGAAGACCATCCTTCCCGTGCACAAGTGGCAAAACAGCTTTTAGAAAAATTAGACGAATGGATTAAAGAAGGTAAATATATTATTTTTGTTACTTGTCTACTTAATAGCGAATTCGATTGGACGTTACAAAAAAAAATCTTGCAAAGTATCAAAAATTCTGATTTTCAGGAAACTTGTTTATAATTAAACATGTATAGGTCACATAAATAGATGAATTTAGAAAATTTATTTGGTAAGAAAACGATTTTGGTATTGGATAAACTGTTTTAAGAAATAAAATCATCCCTTATGGATCAAATAGTTTTTGGATTTTTTTTTATAATATCTGAAATCATTTGAAATATCAAAAAATATTTTATATGCAGTGTGCATTAGTGTGTCCAACCGAATTTACTATAAAATATACATAATTGTATTGTATATAAATCGACGGTATTTATATCAGTGATAAATATTCATATTGCAATGAGCGATAAAAATTGGTAATTAATGATATTCTATTTCGTTTTACATGAAATAAAAACTGATGTATATATCAGTTGATGTATATATCTTAGAATTTTGAATATCTGTGTGCGAATATACATAAAATTTTGTTATTCTAGAATATGCTTAACATACAAAAATACAATTTTAAAAATCTTATATGAATATAGATTTATCTACATATGCTCTTATCTGAGAACAGGGAAAAGTCAAGTTGGAATTACAAATCAGAATGTAAAGCAGAAACAGTAATTGTATATAGAAGATAAGTAGGAAATTAAATGTTATAAATATTGCTTTTTTTCTTAATGATATTAAAAATATGAATATAGTAATATGAGGTAATAAAATACAAGAATACATTACAAATTTAGAAATGTAACTTCTAATCTTGGATCATTCTGATTCTTGATCGACGTAATTTTATAAGATGTATATCTTATATATAATTGAATAATTCACTGATGTGAGATGTATATCTCTATTATATAATTGAATAATTCTGATATGATACTCAAGTATTTTTGCTAAATTTTTCATTAGTGAATTAAGTTTTAACAAAGCATTTATCATTAAATTTGGAGTTTATTTTTGTTGAGTAAAGAAAATTGCTATTTTAAGAAATGAATATATATTTTTATAATATGTAATGTTAATTTAACATTAAATATTTTAATAATTAGAAATTAATACATTTTTTGTAACAAAACTTGCTCAAATTTAATCTTCAATTTGATTAGAGAAAATTGATTATTAATTCAACATATCAAGAATATGATACTGAACTAAAGATATCCATCCTGGTTTATTGTCAAATTTTTGACAAGATTTCGTTGAAACATGTTTAATATTTTAAAGTAAAATTAATCAAATTTACATTTCTGGCAAATTTATTTTTTTATTCTTGCTTTTATTCTTGCACAAACATTGATATGGATATTATATATCGCAAAAAGTATAGCCCACTAAACGGATGTCATTCGATTGAAATAGTTAAAGGGAAACTCTCAAATTTTATTCTACAATTTTTCAAAAATCTATGACGTTTATCATAACATCTAATAATTTAAATGTTATAAAATAATTGCATGATTACTTACTAACGATTAGTTTTATGGTCGCATTAAAAAGTGGAACTTGTCTACATAATCTTTAACATAATCATAGCATGTTATACTTGCTTCGGGAAAAAAAAATTCATATCCGGAGTTGAATCACAGAGACCTTCTTTATACAATTACAAATCACACAATTTTCACATATTATCGTATCTGTGAATGATAAGAAATCTCAATCGTCGTATCGCTTGCATTTTAAATGACATTGTTATAAATAACCGATTTAACAGGGAGAACCACCGCGTAGCACGGCGTCATGAATCTCGGGAGACCCCTCTAGGGATACCAATGTTCTCGATATTCCAGAGAAGCGAGATGCAAAAAAAACTGCTTTATGCTTTCGAGTGATATTTCGCAATATCCGCGTGCGCAAATATAATCGAGCGGCGAGCCATGGTAAAGGACACGAAACTCGCGTGAATGCGCATTAACTTAAGAATCGCCTACTTTTCGCATTTTTTCATACTGCGCAAAAAAAAAGTGAAAACTGGTATTTTCGTTCGATTTCGTATCCCCCTATCGCTTTCATTCTTTCCCACTGGTACCGTTCAGCACACAACACACAGAACAAACAAATGCGCGCGCGCATGTCTACTCTTTTTCTCTTTTCTGCGCTCTTTGTCACTCCTCTCCTTTTTTTCTTGTGAAAGAGAGTGGGACAAACTGGTTAACCTCTACGCGATGGCTTTGGTCTTATAGATGATGATAGGGGGGTGATGGCGGGGGGTGTCAGTAACGAGATTGAGAGGAGGGAGTAGAGACGACAGAGGGGAAAGTCCAAAGATAAGCAGGAGCGGTTTCTCGCTAGTATACAGGCCATCGAAGTCCAATTTGCACGATCGCCATTTGCCGATCCGTCGCGCTACATCAGTGCTTAATTAACCGTCGTCTACGGACCGCAACATCTTGATCTCTTATCAGTGTCTTGCACATCATTACCTGTTCTCGAGATCTCTTATCAATTTTCCCGCGCGAATCGCCGGAAAATTTCACGGAGAGCAAAACGTCAAGTTTTCTCACGTTCCTTGTAGTACGTATCTTGTAGTACCATCAAAACGAAGAAAGAAGAAGCGGTGAACAGCCCGCACGCGTGATAAGTAGTAAAAAGCTGCTGTGAAATTGCCGGACGTGACATCGAACACTCGTCAACGCAAACACGTGGCTGCGCATCGTTTTGCGCAAAATATCATCTCGCGTCGTGTTTTAGAAGCGTCGGAATCTCTGAGCGTTCACTGGTATAGGGACAACAGGATATCAAGCGAGTTTGCCGAGCATCGTCATAGGAAGAAAGTGCGGAGGAAGCACAGGACGAACTACAGCCAAACATCTGGAGATAGATCTGAAATCCGGCGACGATTTAGCCCTTTACTGATCCGTTGGAGGTTTGCGGCAGCGACATTTGTTTGTTAGTGCATGGGCACAACCGCACGCGGGTGCCCTGAAAGGAACGGTGGCTTGGCGCCGGTAATTCTACGAGACTGGCATCATTAAAGTTGATCCGTGAAAACGATCCGTCGTCTCGATGGTGGAGCGTGCTAATGTTATATAATAGCATGCAGTTCGCATATCGGTACACGTGGAACCGAGAGATCATCGTCAACTCCCAGAAGCTCGTGAAAAGACGTTGAATATTGGCCGATTTGTTGCGATCATACGTGGGAGGATCGCACGTTCTTCTACGTCTTCGTACGAGCTGCGGCACGCTACGTTGGCGCTACAGAAAGAACGATCGTATTGGAACCACCGGCCCTTCCCAACCAGTTACACCAGATACACACTCCCACCTGATCTCTCTTCTCCCGTCCCTTTAACAAGGAAAACACCAAACCACGCGCAATTACCATGGCTGCCTTATGTTACAGCGGTAGGTTTCCTTTTCCCCTCCCCCTTTGTTCTATTTGCCCCCATCTGACGAATGCTCCGAATTGCTTCAAGTCGAGGCATAATACAGAATTTATTATCTAGGCGGAGTAGGAGATAGAAATGTGTTATCTGATCGCATTATATGTAGACATATTGGTACTGTGTTAGTTTTATCGTTAGTTACCTATTACATAGCGCATTTCGTTCTTTAAAACGTAAAAATAATATTGTTTAATCGTTAAAATGCGTAATTCAAAAAAAGATATTTTTTGTCATGTTAAAACAACGTTTAAATGTTCATTGTATTGTGGGATTTAAAAATACTCGAGATAAAACGAGTGATGACTTGCTATTCAAGATATAGGTATATATTTTGTAAGTAAACACGAAAAGTGTCCGTAGCGACTCCGTGATTTCGGTGCTTGCTTTTTAAGATTTTTTTTTATTTGATAATGCAGCTATTGTTTTGTTTCTCAAAGAATGTCGAGAAAGATAGAATGATTTATGTCGATCTATATCACTAATGCTCATTTCTACCAATGTACATTAATTTTTTAATCTTAATTCGACTTATTCTTTGTCTCTTTTAATTCTTAGAACTAGAAAAATATAAAGAGTTAATTGAATTGAGATTAAAATAATGTCTAAGACATAATTGAAAAGCACAAGCAATAAGAAATATCAGGTTTCAACCTAGAAATCGTGTATATCAGAATATACCGTTTCTGACAGATTTCTGATTTTTTCCCTGTTCTATTGCCTGTGCTTTTCATTTGTAGCTGAGGCTTTTAAACACATATATAATTACAATTTGGTAGTATTGTTTGTTTGTTTGTTTGTTTTTTAAATATATAGACTATTTCTTGTTTTCCAAAAAGATTGATTCATGAAATTGTGCACTTTCAATAATGAGCAATTCATTTGTGTACAGATAAAATATTTTGTCCCCCCTACATTAGAGGAATGTCACATTCGAAGTATTATTTACTTTGTTATTTTACTATTAAGAAAATTCGGAAAATTTATGAAGAACCGGAATATATGTATATTTTTTTAATTGTTTCTTCAAGGATCTTGCTTATATTTTACAATACATGTTAACAGTTTGATCAACTGGCATATCTGGGTTTTTTTTTTCAACAAACTGACATTTATGATACTTATATGGGCTGTATATTTTGTGTTCGTAAAATATATTTTTAATACATTTCTCTTTATCTCTAATGTTTCGGAAAAAAGTATTACAAATAAGAATATTACATTGGAAGTAAAGTTTTTAAAAACTCTTGAGTAGCTCTTAATTTTTTTCTTTACAGTTACGAGTAGAAAAAATAAGACTCGCATAATAAACAAATTTATATTAAATTTATATATATGAATTTTTCTGAAAACTTAAATCTGAACGTTCTCTTTTTTTTTCCAAAGTTTAAATAGACACTTTGATGTTGTTTGTCATCGAAATGCACATGTCATTTCTCGTTACCACAAACGAAACTTCAGATTTGTAGCCCAATAGTTTGGAAATAAAAAATAATACGCTAAATCGCACACGCGATCATGTAAATAGCAGGCATACACAAATTTCAGAAAGATTTTCTCCGGTATGTTTTACGAGAAACATCTTTAAATATTGCTGAAATTCAAATCTATATCAATCTCATTTGTCATTTATTTACATTCCTAATACATTATCAGATCAATAATCTCGTTCGTTACATTTTCATAAAAGTATATTAGAAATCAAGTAGATACATTCTGTGTAAAAAAAAATCAATCATATCTTTAGATCTTAGGATATTATATTTGATGTTAATCCATTTTCTTAAGAAACAAAAGTTATGATAATGAACTCGGCACGCACGCACGCGCGCGCGCGCACGCACACACACACGCACACACACACACACACACACACACACACACACACACGCACATAAGAACTTTAAGAAAACATGCGAGTGCAATTAAAACAGTATCTTATTTAAAAATATGATATATACATGTATAGTAGCATTTTTTTATTTGATGACATTTTAACTGCACTCGCCGCGTATCTCTGTTTTCCTGAAAGTTCTTTGTGCACTTCTAACACTTAACGTCATCCGAATACAGAAATGGTCTTATCTAACCTCATGCCCTCTTGTATTTAAAAGAAGATAACATCCAATAGCTACTGATCAAAGTTTCATAAAATAGGTCACGGCTGTCGTAGAGAGTGCGAAAATTATTCACTTTTTATACACTATAGGTCCTTGATCGGCTACGTCCTTGAGAAGGTGAAACCTTCCAGAAAGATAAGAGTATTTTGAAGCATTCGTTTAAGTTTTATAAGGCTATTAACACACGTGCAGTCATTAGTAATGATTTTTAAAAAATGTATTTTTTTTTTCCATAAACATTACTTTGCATACGAAATAAAAAAAATCGTCGCTGCAGCCCAGTAATTGATCTCATTATAAATGAGATTGCAAATGAGGAACTTGTTTTCCTACTTAATGTCCATGAAATTGTATTAATGCGCCACACCTATTTATTGTTCGTGTTCGTTGCAAGTACTGTTAGCTATCAACTTGAAATTTTTAATCAAATTGATACATAAAAAGAATATTATCGAATAACATGTTACTCAGGACACGCTTACATAAAATTAATCTCTTTCCTGAGCACTATAAACGCTGCCACTAAAGAATGAAAAAGAAAATTTGATTCGCCGTCAATAAAACATGAAAGATGGATAATGTAATTTTTTACAGAACGTAATACGCGGTAAAGTCTTTACGTTATGGAAAATAAGAGAATCGATCATTCTTAGATATTGTAGAATATTTGCCAGCCATACCATATTTCCAGAGATTATTGCGTCTCATGTTATCCAATAACAATGCACACATACTAGGAAATATAATATCACCAATATGTGATTCATTTGCAAACGAATGAATGCATCACGAGCGTGGCGCACGAACTGATACGTGATGTCAATTAGAAATAGGACGGATGCGTTTCGATCTATGGCGCCATCGGCCGCGCATATCGCTACCCAAAGAATTATGCGATATTGCTTGCATGTGAATTGTAGAATTTCTTAAGTAAGTTTGAATATTGTCCGCTAATTTCAACGCATACATTTAATAAAGTTTATATATATATATATATATATATATTATTGCTGCAATAAGTAGAAATATCTATATTACTGTATAAGAAAGTATCTGAATTACTGTAATAAGGAAAGTCTATAAAATAGAAGAAATCTATAAAATATAGAAAAATCTGTAATAATAGTATATAATATAAATTTCTTCATAATGAGTCTGATGTATAATAGATCAATAAAAAATTCAAATTCTTGCTTAACGAATTTTAGATTAATCTAATGCATACAATTGAAAAACACAGGCAATAGGAACAAAGAATAACAGATTTTAATCTATTAACAGAATCGTGTATTCTGGTATGTGCAATTTCTGATGAAAGTTGAAATTTGTCATTCCCCATCACTTTTCATATATGTCTCAGGTTTTATTCTACTTTAGAGAGCCACGTTAAAGCCAAGTTGCACAAACAACTGTCATTCTAATCAAGATCGTCTGTTTGCTTTCAGAACCCTTCTCAGATTGGCTGGAAGAAAAGATAGAGCTGCCTATATTTGAACAAATATCTCTTCCCGAAAACCAAAACAAATCACCGCTGCCGGTTTACTCTACCGTCATTTATCCGCTAACGGTGACGAAGACATTGCAGCAGCAACAACAACAACAACAACAACAACAACAACAACAACATGATAACACACAAACCCTCTTGCAGGAATTTGAAACGGTTTTGGGTGACGTCGAGGCTTGTCATCAGATCATTCCGCCAACCAGTTCGACGCTTACTCCTCCGCAATCACCCTCACATAAATCGGTCAATGTGGACACGCAACTGCTTGTCACTCTGCAGCCTATGGAATCGTTCGCCAACGATCAACCGATATATAACATAGCTGCAACAGAACAACCGCTGTATGTGGATAATATACCGCGTCAGTGGAATACCGATAACATAGACTCGCTAAGTCCGCTTGGCGGGGATGTTGCGAACGAGTTAGCAGTGGTGGATGAATACGTTCGCTCACATACCAAGGATATACCGTCTCCCGTAAGTCCGTGCAGCTCCAATAGCAGTTCGGCCGACGATTCCATTGACGATCCCGATTGGAATCTCGAAACCGAGAAAAGAACAAGCCTGAAACAAACAGTTCATGACTCTTCGAAACATCGCCAAAAGCCATATTCTCGATCCTCTCTTGAGGACAAGAAGGTACGGAAAAAAGAACAGAATAAGAATGCTGCTACACGTTATAGACAGAAAAAGAAACAAGAAATCAAAGAGATACAGGGTGAAGAGCGCGAACTGGCGGAGCATAATGAGAAGTTAAAAGAAAAGATGAAGAACTTGCAGCAGGAGATAAAATATCTGAAAGGATTTATGAGGGATGTGTTCAAAGCTAAGGGTATTCTTAAATAATCCATTTGTTCAAGAATCCTTATCGCCGTACGACATAATATCTATTAGTTTTATTTAGATGTAGGGGAGACCACAGCAACAAAAAGTTTAAACCCACAAAAGTACTTTTAAATATAAGATTTTTTCTAATTTTTTTATATATAATAAATAAAAAGTATATCTAAAAATGCATGCAACAATCGTATAATACCAGTTATATTAATCTAAACTGAATTACTCTAAATAAATGACCCATGATACTCTGTAATTGATGCTGCCTTGGTCTTCCTTATATTTATTAATTTTATTTTTAGGTAATTCTCTTCATTTTTCTGCCACTAATTGTATTTTACAATTGTACTAATATTTATGATAACTCACTATTGTTTCATGTTCTCAATTTGTTCGCGTGATTTTCTTAACAAGTATTTGTTAATGTATTTTATATATATATATATATATATACATATATACGTAATAAGTTATCCGCAAATTTTTAGAGAAAATCTACAGATTTAGAATAAAGTGTACATCCTAGTTTAAAGAATTCCATCAACATTGGTAAATTGCATTAATTAACGCGGTGCGTTAGATAATGTGTGCATAAATTGTCGAGTAAGCTTATGAAGCTCTAATCAGCAGAAACCTGCTTGCTCATGCACATTCCACCACTTATCTATCGCACCTCTCGGATGCGAATCTTTTCATTTCGATTAATTTTTATCCTTTATTGCATAGTTATACCTTCATACGGCAAATTATGTAGCAAACAAAATAAATGGGTTTAATTAAACAAGTTGTACAAATATTTTCTCTTAGGGATCTGTACTTTACAGATTGACTTTTTTTTATTCGTCCAAATAAATCTGGAAAATTCCATTCCATTAACATCCTAAGCTATTAACGATGTTTATTTAATGTAAAAATATTAACGTTTCTAACATATATATTGATCCTTTTTATCTTCTTCAATAAAGGAAATGTAAGAAGTTATCTAATACGATAAACAAGAGCTGTATGTACTTCTTGCGAGTCCTTGACTTACAAACGTCATTCGTAGATTAAAATTTAGAATAAAATCTAAGCTTAATTATGTGTATATAGCTCTAAGAGTATCGTCAGCTAGATATTCTTCATTCCTTTCCTCAAAGATTGCTTTCTTCATCTAAAACCTTATACCACTTTAAAATTTTGGAAAAAATAAAAAATTTTTCTTTCCTTTAAATAATACTGCTTATACATGCGAAAATATAGCTTCACTAGTTGAGATGAAAAATTCAAAATATCTATACAAGCTGATTTTTTGAAACACGAAGAACATATCCACATGAAAAACAATACATTTTTCTTAAAACATTTTTTAAATCAGCGTACATCATAATTTCTATTTCAATTTTTATTTAATTTACTTGAAACTTACTGAGAATTTTTATTTGTTAATTGTCTATATAAAAAAATACATAATTTTTCGATTAGTTAAAAACTGTTATATTGTTATTGACATTTTTATCATTTTTAGTCAAAAATCCTTTTTTTTTTTAAATATTGGTCATTTTCCAAAAAAGCATATTTTTGAAAATCTACGTGTTTTAATAAATATCTTCAATAAATGTGTGTAAAAATTTTTGGTTTTTATTTTTTATAAAATCATTTCATGGTAATGGCTGCGTTCAGCTGAAAAAACAGTTTTGCGCAACAATGTACGATTTTTTAAATATGATTGGTTTATATACATCAGATTCAGTGATGAATTAAAGATGTAAGACCAATCAAAGAATTTTACTACAGTTGCAAAGTTGCTTTTTCTGTTGAACGCAGCTAATTTAGTTATCTGCCGATTGGATGGTCGCTGAAAATCATAATCTATTTGAATTAATCGCAGCGCCGTCATTTTCCTCGAAAAAAATAAAAATTTGTATTCATGTGTAGTAAATATCTTTTTATAGATTTTTAATTTACTTTATTTTTTTTGCAAAAAAATTCCTCAAAAAAATCTTTTTAAAGGGTACAAAGTGGTGTAAGGCCTTAAACCGATGCGTTATTTTATTTCCTTGTTATCTATCATTTATAAATTTCTGATCTTTATAGCTGCTTTCTCCTTATAACATTTCCTCGTATTTTTCATCCTCTCTTCCGCCCTCCAAACTATATACTTATCTAATTCGACTAGGAAGAACGCAGCTAAAGATCTCGAATCAACAAACATAATATCTTTAGATTCTTTATTTTGACCTTTTCCTATTAAATTCTGTACTAATTCCCCCCCCCCCCCCCCTCTTGTGAAGCGCCTAGGAAGATTTCTTCGTGAGCCGTTCTCGACAGGCGGCTTTGTACAAATATCATGGTGGGGAAAAGTAGAAACGGTAAGGAGTTTGGCAGCTTCCCTTCCTCCTCCACTCCGCAGGTTTGAGAGATATGTTAAATTAACGGTACAATTTTAACGTTCATGATATTATAGTAATGGCATTTACTGCCGATACAAAAATACAACTCACAGGAAGATAAAAAAATTGCGACTAGCACGGCAGAAATATTTTTTTTAGATCAAATGACGGCCGCGAAGCAAATAGAGCTATCGTCCTTTTTTTATCAATTAAAATCTCGCACGCTAGACACGAGTAGAAATAATTTATGCCGCATTTCTCGGTTTTGACGTCATCGATATCGATTGGCCGACCTTGAGCAATTTCTTTCTCCATTTTGTACGAGATTCTGTACATACATGTATACACATCTCATTAATATTTAACGAATTCTTGTTTTTTTTTCTTGTGCACGCGTCCGCGCGTGCGAAAGGTCTAAGGCGAATTTTTGGAAGTTCCTTCTATCATCAGCTACTGCAACTTAATATTGATTGATTGGAGAATAAAGAACGGCTCGGTAAAAAAAAAAAAGAGTTCAAAGAGATAAACGTGGAGAGTGTACAGAGTTACTCCTAGTTCATTGTATTTTTATTTTTTTCAACATGAGTGCACACACACACTCAAATGCATAATTATACACGTACACAAACGCGTGTATCTTCATATTTACATGCGATATTAATAATACAACAAATGTGAGATATTTTAACAGTTTTCTGACGTAAAATAATGAAAGTCAACTACACAGAAACTTATACGTAACGCAATCGTCCGCTGAACTCTGTACCATACTTGCGAGAAATGCATATATTTTTTGTTCAAATGTAACATCTTTCCACATTTTGTTACTTAAGCATTCACATTTTACTATATATACAAAATACCACATATATTTATTACATAATCACATATATGTGTGTAAATATATATATATATATATATATATACTTGTTCTGTTGTTTCCTTGATATTTTATTGTATCATTTATTTTTTTGCATTGAGAATCTGTTTGTTTTTTCTTGAAGATAATATATACTATTGTCCAAAATTGATTATTCATATCCGTGACCTTCATTAATCAATAATCTAAATTTCACTTATAATGCATAGGTAATTATTATGAATGTAATTAACACGTTTCGATGCGAATTTACTTCGTCGCGGATTTCGAGCTCCTGGAAGTAATTTCAGGAGAATCTCGCAATCACATGGCACATATTGATTTATAGATTCTTAATGTCAAACGTTAACTGCACAGCTCACGCATCGATTGATAATGATAACGTGTTTTTAAATACATATTAACAACATTCTCTCGATTTCAATGATAAAATTCATAATCGCACGAGATAGATCTTCTTGTATGTAACAGCTATTTTTACTCACTATATGCTTTTATCGTTCTAAAATAATATACATGTAATATACATGTGTGTGCGATTAAATCACCAAACATAAAAGCATCCACAAATTAAAATAACAAGAATATTGTACAAACTAATACTTCACATAATCATTCGTTTTATTATAAAAATGTAGATGTGAACCTTGCACGGTAGTTCGATGTGGGCACACATATAGATATACACACACTGTAATATTTTAAAATATAAATTTTAATTTAATTATGTTATACATAATGTAAAAATAAAAAAAAATCAAATGATCTATTGGTGTCTTGTTATCATTGTTTTACAAGGGCAACAAGAAAATAAGCTCACATTCTGATAAATAGCAACAAATATACAATTATGATATACAACACAAATTGTTTTTATAACATTCGGTTGTAGCATACTTTGCGCGGCAGTATAAGAAATCTATCATCCGAAATATATGTAAATTCTGGAATGTTCATGTATTCATTATGAGTATTTGTTAATTATTAGATTTGCTTAAATCACATAATTAATGACGAGTCATCACAAAAATAATCTTTTTTTATAAAAGTAATCATCATAAAAAACTTATTAAGTGACAATATAAAAATAAATGTATATCAGGAGAACAAACATGTTGTAACTACAAAGTGCAACATCTCTTATTCTGTCCAAACAATATCTAAATAAAATATGAATATAGATATTAATCACACGATATGCTCTATCTCTTCTCTCTTGAATAAGATATACATTCTTGCCCTTTTATGTACCTTCTAGTAAGGCGCACAAAAAATAAAATAAAACATAAACTTAACAAAATGCAATGTATATCTATATAAGTTGCCAATTATATTGTCTCCCATGCATGGAAGTCTAGGAAGAGTGCTTATATTTTACTTCAAATAAACAATTAAGCGAAAATCTATTGAAAAGGTTTGGAAGGTCCTATGTCGTCGTGTCGCCTTCCTCTTGTTCGAGTCTGGAAGAGCCGCAAACACGGCATTTACAGCATACAATGCAAGGTGCTGCTAATAATAGTAAGGGCGATGCGACAAGTAGAAGTAGGCCAAAACCAGCGAAGATCCCGATAACTTGCGTTCGATGCCATATCACGGACGCACGTGAATGTCCCAATTTATTCTTACATGGTCCCTTGTCGTAATGTCGCAACAGAAAGTCATCCTACGCATTAATAATTTAAAAATCAATTTGCGTCTTATGCCAAGCATTCTCATATATAAAGGAACAGTTTACGTTTCACAAGGTTTACGTTTTAACCGCATACTTCCTTTACCGCTTCGAATACTTACATCTAAGGATGCTAGGCAGTACCAGCAAAACACGTGTTTACATCTTTTGCACATCATTTGAGCACAACCTTCATCCTTTTCTATCGGCACAGAACACATGGGACAACATTTAATGTGATCGCTACCGAACGGTATTCCTAATGGAAGATCTGAACAGGGCCCGTTATGCCAAGGCTCGCGACATATTGAACAGAAATCTGTGGAGCAGTTGGGACAGTGAACAGGACCTAAAGGAGAGCCGCTTCCACTGTTGCCATTTATCGAACATATTGTTTCACAACCCGCTCGTGGACACCATGCACGTCCTTTATCCATCGACACATCTGCATACAAAATTATATTGATTGTATTAAAGTGTTTAGTACGGTGTCAATTATCTTGTGTGGACGACTACACTTTTACATCTAACTGAATAGATACAGAATCCATATTGCCTACCTCTATTTAAACGAAACTTGCAATGCTTCTCCACAAGTTCTGTGTTGACAAGGCTTGATATCTCCTTCAATGATAGTATAGCGCCATGATCACACTGAGCATCAGGACAACTAATCTCATACGCGCCTTCCTCAATCTCAAATTCTACATAGGCACGCATGCACTAAAAGTCATTAAAAAACAAAATAAGTATCTTTCTAATACACATCCTTCCTAAACAACTTCCTGGACAACGATCTAAAACCTTAAGGATTCCGCATAATAAAAGGAACAGAAAACAGACAATAAGAATTATCAAGCTATCAGAAACTGTAGATAACAATACATGATTTCTGATAGGTTGAAATTCTTATTCTCTGTTCTCTGTTCCCTGTTCCTTTTATTGTGCAGAGCCCCTTAGACTTACATCTTTACAATAGGAACAACCGCATCCTTCAATTTTAAATGTTTTGGAGAGAGAAGTGTCAACAAGACATAATTTACAAAATATCCGTCCAATTGTCTGCTGTGAGCCTGCAGGAACAAAATTGCCAGCGGCCAAACTGTAACGCGAACTGGATGCCAAGGACAACAGGCTGGAGCAGCGGGAGCAAACTCTGCTGCGATTTATGGGTCTTCCCTCGAGTGCCGAGGTGCTCAATCCTACGGCGGTCTCGCATTTCCTTAGGGCGCCAGGACCCAGATTTATCCAACTGCCACCGCGTGCTTCTAGACTTGCGCTACTCTCAGGACGTAAGAGAGGCGCGTCTGCTTCTCTACCTGGTACTGTCCTCTCTGTCAGGGAGAGATTCACCACACTGGCCTCCTTGCGTATCAGGGGTAATCTGATGCCACTGAGCTTGACCTTCTCGATTTTCTTCTGGCTAGCCACTAGCTTAGTAGGAGGAGTGACAGATGTGACCGAACTGGTCGCTGTACCCATGTCCATCAGTGGTGCCCGTCGTAAGACGAGCGAGTGTAGACTAGGCATCCCCTGGATGTCACTGCCAGTTACAGACGACGAGGAAGCCTGCGTTCGCTGATCCCCGCTCGGGGGACTGCTTCCTTCCGCGCCCGTCGTCGTCGTTCGCTCGCCGCTGATAGTAAGGGAACGCATGAACCCGGATAATCATATATACATGACGGACTCGCAAGGTTTACCGTGGTGTAGCTGCTCGAATGTCGATGGACTCTCACGCTGCTCGTCATAATCTCCGCCGTTCGAGCGTCACGTACTGCACAGACTCTACGTGCTGTGCGTCAAGCTTCTGAAACGGCACTGTCGTTGAACCATCTTATTTCCAAGTGTCGTAACGGCTTTTCACACCTGCACTGTTTGATGTTACATTTAGTATTCCAAGATTCGGTGTTCGTCTGCTGATCTCACTACGACGTACGGAACACCCACAACAGCTGATCGTCCTCAGTGTCTCGAGACAGAGGGAGACAGATAGAAAGAGAAAGATAGAAAGAAGCAGGAAGGGAGAGGGGGAGGGGAGAGAGAGAGAGAGAGAGAGAGATAGCGCGCCCTTGCGAGGTAAACGTCGGCGTGAAGGAGTAAAACTGGAGTAAACGAGCTGCTTGGCGAATGTGCCGAACGACGTAATAACCGTGATGTGCGCCCGAAACACGACGACGCGGATGACGGTCGCGCTACCGCACGTCGTAACCAACGCTTCTCTTCTTCGCCAACGGTCGTTGCTAATGATCCGTTACTGTTACCGTCACCGTCATCGTCATCGTCGCCGTCGCTTTCATTGCGTGTGTCCACGGTATACGAAACGCATCCCACTCCGCCGTCTCCGCCGTGTCGCCTGTGTTAGCGCGCCACAGTCTTCGCTAACATTCTCACCTTCACTGTCGCGTACACTACTGTACATGACAACGATGACGACACTGGACGACACGAGCAATGCGCACACGCATACAGGCCACTGCAGGCCCATACGCGCGAGCGCGGGCGCGCCGCGCGCGTTCATAAATTATCTGCTGAGCCGCGATAGTACTCTTCCACCCCCGCTTCCTCATTCGTTTTCCTTTCTCGTCGAGATCGGTCATCGGCGGAGAACGCTACGATCACGGATGATATAGATGTATAATGAGCCATCCACGCGATTAGCGTAACCGCTTCTATTTTACCGTTATCACAATCTCCGCAGCTACTAGCTACCAATTATGATTATCAGCCATATTCTTTTAAAAGAATAATTAATAAGAAAATAATTAATTTAATTTTATATTTATAAAATTATATTTTAATAAGAGTTGTTAATAAAAATTACATCCTAGGAATTATTTTGTTAAATACCTACTTAAGGGGGCTTTCTGAAACCGTCTATATTATCAATTAAAACCATATAATTTTGTATAACTGTTACTTTTTCCCTCTTTTACAAATTTGATTGAAAATCCTCTTTCAAGATTAAAGTAGTCCGCAAAAGTAGATGCATTAATCCAGATCTACAATAAGCGTTTTAAGTCAAAGGATATGGTCAACGCGATGCATCAAATGCTTCAAAGCATTTGTAGCAAGACCACAGCCTAAGTAAGTTATAATAGTACATGTACTATTATAACAAATCTTTTTCTTTTTATATTTTATATTTTTATGTCAAAGTTTACTTCGATATCCGAAAATTCCAACGTCCCAGTCAGAAATGATAATGGAATCGACATCGATTAAACTGCGTTCGCGAACTTCACTCATATACAATAAATGTAGAAAGCCTTGAGTCATAAGAAATTGAATCACAGTTGAATATGAAAAAAATTAATCAAACATAATTAAGTTCATGATTAAATTGATTTCTTATTACACAATTAGATCTCCAGGGGTACATTCCAAAACTCGATTCCGAATAACAGAGTTAACTCTACGCCGTTCCAAAACGCGAGGTAACTGACCATATGGGCGGAGTCTACTCGTTTCAAAAATATAAGTAACCCTATCTCGAGTTCATGGAGTCAACTTCATGAACTCTGTTTCCGAGATAGATTAAAAGAGTAAAGGCTTAAACACAATAGGCACAGGGAACAGGGAATTACGCACCGTCCAATGAGAACTCCGGGATATAAGTTCGATACATAACCTATCTAATACAAACGTACCACTACAAAGATGCATGAAGTCCATGAGACAAAAAATGCGGCATAGGGAATAGGAACAATTTTCCGACGCGTTGGAATTTTATTGCCTGTTTCCTGTTCCTTCTTGACTAATGTTTTTTAAGGTTATATTTTCATTCGTGAATTTAGTTTTGACAAAATTCAATTGAATTGACATTTAATCACGATTATTGTCAGAAAAGAAAATTTCACGATTCACTGGAGGATAGCAATTTCGAAGATGTAGAGAACTTTGATACAGAACATTTGACATAAGATCAAAAATATGGGGACGAGCTTTTAATAGATTTGATTCGATCTAGGCATTTCTTTATGATTAAAAGATTAAAGAATTTCGAGATACTGAAAGAAAATGCATGGGCAGAGATGGCTTCTATTTTAGGAATTTCAGGTATGCACATTACAATTTAACTAAATATGTTTTTTAAATAATTTTTCCAATATTTAAGTAAATATATTAAATATTACTTTTTAATATACTTTATTAACTTACTATTTAATATAAATAAATTATTTAAATAGTTCTAATTACATATTTACTTAAATCAATTAATGTCTTTTGCTAGCATATGTATTAGTATCAAAAGCAAATTAATATTCAGATCAGATGTTTATTTATACTCTTCTTGTTAAAAATATTTTTTTCTGAAATGTCTAATGTTATATATAAATATCTAATATTACAATTTATGAATGATGACAATATTTTATATATTATGTAATTTTAGATTGTCAAACACGTTGGACACGTCTTCGTCAACGCTTCAGTAAGGAGAGGCAACTACGAGAAAATGAAACAAGAAGTAGGGCAAGAAAATAAGACAAAAATGGATTCTATTTGACAATTTAAATTTTTTAGAGAAGATTACTCCAAGAAGATTAATTTTATGTTTTATAAGAATTATTACAGACTTTTACTTGAATATATCTTATAAATATTGAGTCATCTAAAAAGTATCCGCGGTTTTTTGTCACTAGATGTATGTTGATGGTCTTATATCTAGTGACAAAGTACCACGGATACTTTTTAGATGACCCAATATACATCTTATAAGCTTTGTATACATATATTATTTTCATGATTTCAGGACTTGTTCTAATATTGCCGAAAAAATTAATTCGTGTATGAATATCTAATCTTTTATAGAAAAGTCTGCACAAAAGGAAACGTATGATGAAATATATGATGATAACGTTAGTGATAAGCAAAAATTTATTTATTTTTTTAATAAACTAGTTTATTATACAATGAATATAATCATTATGATGTTGTAACAATATCAGTAGAAATGTATAGAACATTTTATTTTAAAAAAGTCTTTGTATTTTTTCTTAATATATTTAGAACATGTATTCATATATCTACTATGGCACATTTACATTTTGATACATTTAACATATATCTCATATTTGAATTTCTAATATGTTGACCATCAACACCATCTAGTGATAAAAAACCGCGGATACTTTTTAGATGACCCAATATATTATAGCTTAAAGACTGGTTATATTCAATGTGTACAGGGTTGGCCATATTCGACGAAAAGATCTGGGCAACACTGTAACTTTTGACAGAGATGTTAGATCGAGTAACGACGTTTCCCATGATTGAAAAAAAAAACATCTTTCCATCGAATATGGCCAACCCTGTATATTCAAACCATACATTGTAAATTATTTGAAATGTATGAATACAATTTACAAAATTTACTACTTATTTTTAGATGGAATACAACTCTGTAAATAGGCAGTTTAATTTATGCAACAGTAGATCAGAAATGAGTGTAAGTACTATACATTTGTAATATGAAATTGAACAAGTGCGTGCGTGTATGTGTGTACAGTAAGTCAAGTAAGAGCGTGGTCGAGTTAATTTATAAAAAACTGTGTTGTACCATTTTATGTTATTAGGCCTTGAGATAGGTTCGAATAGTTTCGTACGATATATCTAAACCTTTCTGCTTCAATTTTGCTTATCCTTGACATAGTGTTAAGCCAGGATTTCACGAAAACAGAACTTCACTATTTTTTTATCGTCTTTTTTGTCCACTTTGCATATCGAGCGTTTACGTTCCGGTAAATCATCGACATTTTTTGCCATATTATATCGCTGCATCCATTTCTGTACGAATGATTTCGACTTTTTCATATATTTAGCAGCCGCTAATTGTGACATTTTTGGACCTTTCGGATGAGTGCAGAAGAACACAGCGTGATGCGTATTTGGTACTCATGGCGCTTAAGAATGAGTGATTCTCTTAAGAAAGTTGAATGACAACTGAATCTTTCTTGATAATGCATCAAGGACAAAGGTACCCTCTATGGATTCATGATAGATTTAGGGCGATATCTTTTATTAGCTTTGAGTAAGGCTCTCTTACTTGACTTACTGTATGTATATATATATATATATATATATA